TGCTTCTGTCCACACAATCAGAGAAATAATAAAATCATGGTCTAGGGATGAAATCTCCTAAATAAAGTGTCTGTAGTGTTCCCTTGAAAGACATGTCTAAATCCCAGCAATTATATGGGCTTATGCATAACCTATTGCTGCATGTAAAATAAACAATAAAGAATGAAAAGGCATTATTAAAACATAGGGGATGCCTTCAAAGAGGAATCTCTTTGGATAGATTTTCCCCAAATTATTTTGTTATTATTTTTTTTTTACTTTATTGTTTAAGAGATCAACCCTCTTCAACACACAATTACATTTATATCAGAAAGAGCAAAATCTCAGAGAGAGGAAAAACCCCTACTGAATCCACAGATTAAACAGATAGGAAGTGGCTGACAGAGAATTCATTTTTGCCTCAGTACTTGGAGGATCTGTAGCATCTGCAGCCATCAAGAGGTGTCCCCTCTCCCTAAATAAATAAATATTTTTTTTAAAAAAATCCTAAGAGATTTGGCAAACTCTCACCAATCTCATGTTAGATATTGAAGTTTCACGGAAAATTACTGAGCTGCAAGAATACTGAAGTCTGACCAGATGTTGACATTCTACAGTGAAATGGTGGTGAGATTTAGTGTGTTCCCTAAGTATTTACTTTTGGGTATGTGGGTGCACAAGACATGTTAGATTGTGCAATAGATCCAGGTTCAGAAATGATTGCTGACTTAGGCCAACAAATGGTCTTAGAATCCATTCAAAAAGTGGAACAATGACTTTTAAGAAAAGAGCTTGTAATATTTATTGTAATATTTTATTGCTCAAAGAATGAGAGATGTCCTGCAAATGAGACATGTTTTCATGAGAAAGAAATAATGATCCCAGAGCCTCACTCTGATTCTTGTACCTCTCTATTAGGCAAAAATTTGTGGAGGGAAAATATAATGCAAGTTGGCAATGGGATTAAAGTATGAATGCCTACTATATATCAATATAAGCATTTTCTTGAACAAAGAGGCACCAGCACTATACACACATCTTACTGAAATAAAAGACAATATTGTTGTTGCTGTTGTTTACGATTATTGGCCATCAAGTTGATGTCAGTTCTTAGAGACAACACAGATAGAACTTCTCCAGGATGACATGTCTCCGATTTATTCTTTCATGACTTCCAACTGTGCATATATTGCTGCTTTGTCATTGAGTGCATCCGCCTTGCTGCTGGTTGACCTCTTCTTTAGAAGTACCTGTAAATCCAGGTTAACCACAGTCTCCAAAAGAAATTAAGGATCATTGCAACATTTGGGCAAATATCAAAGATCAGAAGGCTGAAAAAGCAAAACATTCAATAAAAATAAAAAGATGTATTTTGTGCTGTATAGTTTTACTTACAACTATAGGGGGTGGTGTGATGGCTCAGTGATTAAGGTGCTGAGCTTGTCGGCTGGAAAGCTAGCAGCCCAGGTTCAAGACCCGAGCACCACAAAACAGGGTGAGCTCCTGTCTTCGCCTGAGCTCTTGCCAATCTAACAGTTTGAAAGCATGCTGGACTAGAAGATCTCCAAGGTCTATTCTATTCTATTCTATTCTATTCTATTCTATTCTATTCTATTCTATTCTATTCTATTCTATTCTATTCTATTCTTTTATTATTTGCAAGTAAATAAATAGGTACCATTGGTGGGAAGGTAACAGCATTCCCTGACATGCTGGCCACATGACTATGGAAATGTCTTTGGACAGCGCTGCTTCAATAACCTTGAAATGGAGATGAGCACTGCCTCCTATAGTTGGCAATGACCAGCAGAGTAAAGTCCGCAGGGATTACTATAGCCTTACTTAAACTTGAATTTAGTTCAAAATTTGTTTTGGAAAGATAAACATAGACTTTTAGAAGCTGACAATTTTGATTCCTCATGATACCTATATATTTTATTATACATAGAAAAGGTTATGTGATTTTTTTTTATTTAGGTTCTAAGGCAAGTTTCCACAAATACTGTACCATATTTGAATTAAACATTTTTTCAGTGTTCCTCCATGGGCCTTTTCTTTAAAAGAAAGTTTAGCTGAAAGGGATACAAAACACCTACTTTAGATTAGTTCTAATTTGTGTTTTATGATCTCGCATTGTAAGCCATCTGGCAAGAACTGATACATCCAGTTCTTATAAATGATGGCACACATGTGCTTCTATCTGTGATTTTTATTTTTAGCTTTCACAACCTAGTTCTATTTTTTTTTTTTTTGCTAACTAAAGGATGGTTAAAAAGGGAAAATTGTGGGAGACCAAAGAGCAAGCAGCTGGAGAAGGTGAGCAGGGATTGTACAAGTGGGGGCAGGTGATGTACACAGGTGCAAAAAGGTGTGATGCTATTTTGAGTAAAGTGAAATATGTATTTCATACAATTAACAAAAAAAATGATGTTAACTGTCTAGGTGGAGCAGAACCATTTTGATGACACCATTTGCTATCTACTGCATTCCCTTGTGATCTGAAAGGGGATTATCTAAAATAATCAGAAAAGAAGGCACAAAAGGTTAACTTGCAAAACGTGCATTGTCAATAAAAAAGTAATTGTGTAAAATGAAATACCAGCACTCTAGCTATTATTTCTTTGCTCACTTCCCTTTGGAAAACAGCCATCAGCTCTGAAGCAAGCAGTGCTTTGACTTCTCTTCAACAAACCACTGGTGGGATCCAATAATATGGGACCAATTTCCATCCCGTCTGCAGGTTTTCCTTTGTAAGAATCTTGCTGAGAAGATGGTAGGCGTATCGCTGTAGAAGACTTGGAAGAAGCAGACTATCTGGACCATTTTAAGTTGGGCTTCAGGTTGAGTGATGGTACCGTGATAGCATTAATTACACTGACAGATGATCTTTGTGAGGTTTGAAGTGGAAGAAGTGCATTCATTGTGGCCCTTTGGATCATCTCTCAGTGTCTTTCTGGTTTTTCTGATCATGGTATCCTTCTGGACCACATTAAGGAGTTGGGGCAGTATAGGAGGAGCTTTAGTGATTCTCCTCTTTTCTTCAACTCTGGCTTCAGTCACTGGTGTGGATAAGGTCCAACTCTAGATCCTCTGCAAAGCGGGATGGTTCAGAGTTCAAAATTTTCCCTATTCCTATTTAACATCTATATAAAACTGTTGGGTTATGTTATCCATAAGCACATGTTTAAATATCATCAGTATATGATACCCAGCTATATATCTCTATCATCTAAACAAGGGATATCATCAGGATTCTTTTCCTGTGCCTGAAAACTGGATGCTAAATCCAAACCAGACTGAGTATCTGTGGTTTTAGAGCAGTGGTTCTCAACCTTTTTAATGCCACGACCCCCAACCGGGGGTCGAGGACTACTCAACCAGTCGTAAGTCGAGGCCTATTCAACTGGTGCAGCCCCGTTTGCAGAATGGGACTTTTGGCGGGCTCAGCAGGGCAGAGACAGCCTGGACAATTCCTATTGGCTTTTGAAAGCCAATAGAATTAGACTCTATTCAAGAGAGTCTATTCTATTGGCTTTCAAAAGCCAATAGAATAAAAGGGAGTAGCACAGCTAAGGAAAAGGGGAAAAAAATGGCGGACTGCGTTGTTTGGCGACCCCCGTGAAATGGTCGTTCGACCCCAAATGGGGTCCCGACCCACAGGTTGAGAACCACTGTTTTAGAGATTCCTCTGGATCTGATGACTCTTCATTTTTAGTTCTGGATGGCAGTGCTCTTGCTTAGATAGAACTCATTGCAATTTGGAGTCTTCACAGCTCCTGCTTGAGAAGCAGGAGGTAACTATGGCCAGGAGGGCCTCTGCATCAATCCATATTATATACCAATTGTGTCCATTCCTGAATTGGGAAGCTCTTCATGTCATAGTCACATCCTGATTGAACTATTTGTAATGACACTCTTTCTCTGCTCCTAAAGGGCCCGAGCTACTGATAAAACAGCAGTTAAAATAAAGATAGCATGGAATAATTTGTTCTGGATTTTGATTATGTGAATAAACTCTAGAATTTAAGATTTTGACATGCATATACAGCAGGTGAACTATCACAGAAGAAATTGCACATTCGGGGATGATATCCATTGGTTTTCTTCAGGTGAGTGTTTTTCCTCCCTCTTTCATCAAGCTGAGCCACATTAGAAGAAAAAAATATATGATATATACTAAATGCAATTGCCTTTCCATAAACAGCTAAGCTAAAGCCAGTCGAACCATATTATATGTATGCTTCCATATATGCTACTTCTGTGCTGCACAATTAATTTTTTTCCAGGACAAGTGGCCTTGTTGGCTATTGAACGAGATGCTACAGCTGCATACGCAACCAAATTAATTGACTTAAGGTGATTGTCACATATTTAATAATTTTCTCTTTCATTTCCCCTAAAAATTGCAGTTCGGTGACAACTTTGGAAGAGAGTCTGGGAGGTCACCTTCAAAGCCTTTGAGGAACCACACATGGTCTAAAAATCTCAGATTTTGTTCCTCAGGATAATAGCAGTTTTAGTTCTGTGCATATATTGGAGAGTGGGGTGTGTTGTGGGGGGGGGGAAATAAAGATTTGAATTACATGTCAGGCTGCATTTCTAATATTTTTGTGTATAGTTATGGGATGTAATCTTAGAATGATACCTTTGGTGGCAGCAGAATATAATTGATCCTCTCTTTTTTTTCTTCTTCTTCTTCTTGTGCCATATCCATTATCGGACGTTGGTGATCATGTTGGCGATCCTATTTTTATCAGCAGCCACACGAAAAAGTGCTGCTGTGTTTTGTCCAAACCTGTCCCTTAGATTTTGAAGCCACAATGTTCTTCTTCTGCCTGGACTTCATTTGCCTTCAATCTTTCCCTGAAGGATTAAATGGAGTATGCCGTATTTTTCTGGGTGTCGCATCACATGTCCGAAATATTCTAATTTTTGTTTTTTAATTGTTTTGATGATTTCCCTTGGCTTTCCCAGGCGGCTTATCACCTCCTCATTTCTGATCTTGTCAACCCAGCTTATACATAACAGCCGCCTGTAAATCCACATTTCAAATGCTTCTAGTCTCTTCAGGTGGCCTTCTGTCAGAGACCAACTCTCTACTCCATAGAGCAGGATAGAAAAAATATAGCATCTGACAAGCCCTCTCTTTTTAGTTTTTCTAAATTAAGCAAGCCAACAAAAACAAACCGTCAAATCCTACCTGCCTGCCAGCATATTCTTTTACAGGTATGTGTTACACAATGAAAAATATTGTACTGTTGGAAAATTTTAAGGGTTTTTTTCCCCCTCCCCTGCAACACAGCTATTATATAAAAACTTATTTCACTGAGAATTTGAGCACCGTCATGTACAGGCTCAGATTCCTAACAGCAGAGTGCACTCTACTACAAGAAAAACACACTGACCACAAACTTTTTCTGACTCTTGTATGTTCGAAATGATTTCTTTTAAACTAGGGTCCTGTTATGGAAAATAGCTATACTGAATGCTGGTGTGTGTGTGTGTGTGTGGCCCTGTAAACTACGATTCTTGCTAGAAGGCTTTTTCTGACTGGTGAGCAATTGCGTGCATGGTTAAAACGATGCAGGGGAAGGGACGAGCATCCTTGGAGAGCTCCTGAGTCATGTAGGAGACCCACAATTGCAGCAGAGGACTTTATCTTGCTGGGTGAGGAAGCCCTTTCCCACCAGGGGGCAGGCGCACTTGCTGCACTTGAAGCAATCGCTGTGCCACTGGCGATCTTCAAAGGAGATGAAATTCCCCCCTTCAAGAGCTAAAAGGAGAAAGCAAAAGATGAGATGGTGGGATTTCAGCAGATTTTGTTTACACTCTAATAAGCAGAGTTCTTTCTTCTGAACCCACCGCCCCTCCTGAGTTTAAAAATCTGAGAGAGGCGATTTGTAGCTAAAGGCAAATGACTAATCTAGGGTTTTTGTTTGTTTCTTTTCCTGTTTTGATCTTCTGGCTTGCAAACAGATGAACCAACACTGAATTGCTATTGTGGGAAATAAGAAATATTGTCCCTTCCCCTCTAACAGGATAGGAATGAATAAACATAGAATAGGCTCCATATTAGTGATGTAAAGCTTTAACCTGAATTCTATGCTGTTTCACAATAAGAAATGTGCTATTTGTAATCTGCTGAGCTCTGTGCAATATAAAATGCAAAGTATGTAATTCTATATATATTTGGAATATACGTATTTTACCCGTGGGAAAAGAGGAAGTGAAGGTAGCAGATGTGTAGAAGTTTCAGATGGGAACTGTCATTGCAAAGTAAGAATTATGAGTGGGTGATTGGTAGAAGAAAAACATAAAAATGTTGGGGTAAATCTGGCTCGGGGCCATTGGTCTATAGCTGTTCTGTTGGAATCTGCTATTGCCACTTGGTCCTCATTGCAATGGGTTATTGATGTAAGTAATGCCATGTTATTATGCTATATTCCAAATTATTAGAAAATAAACCTCTGAATCTTAAAAGTAAGAATTATTCTTTGTGTTGCTGTCTTTTGTCTTTTCTATTGGGTTTTTCCACGACGCTATGTTCCCAAATGCATGGTTATTTCATTTTTCTCTTGAGGGACACTGAAAAAGGAAGGAGGGGATTCTGAAAAAGGAATGATTTTTTTAGGCATTTTGCCACAAACTCCCCACATTCACAGGCAAAAGCCTGCTTGCTGTCTCAACACCATTTCCCCCCCCCCATGCACTGACATGATAAATGGCTGAAACTGGTTAACTGAAGCAGGGCCAAGCACAGCCCCTCCCTCTACCCCCCATAAAAACAACATTTTCTTTTTCTTTCTCCAATCCTGCTCTTCCTCCAGCAAGTAATTCACTTGAATTTGCTCATCCCTTTCCACTCCAAATTCCAATTGTTGGCAATTAAACCTACCATGTTGTGGTGTCAGATATAATGAAAAAATTAAAATTATGTTTTCTAGTGCCACCACATATTTCAGACCACTTTCCATCCAGCCTGAATACCATCTAGTCTTATTCATGATGGCAAATTGTGACACTGCTATCTGACCGTACTCTATGTGCTTTCGTGAGGTAAGGAATGCAAATGCCAGCTATGCCGAGAACAAATTTATTTGTCCCAGGACTGTCAAAATTGAAGTCGCTTATAAGTAAGAAGATTGTGAACAGTCACCAGTAATGGGTTCAGTGCAGGCCACACATTTCTTTGCAAAATGTCTTTTGAAGCACTCCAGGCAGTAAGGATGTTCATCTTCGGAAATGAATCGATGTTCTGCAAGTTGCTTCTTACATCCAGTACATAGAAAACATTCCTTATGCCATGGCTGGTCATGGTAAGTCACCCCACCGTTGGTGACCGCCTAGTATACGAGAAAATATCATTACTTTAAATTGATGAATTGACACATGGTTGTACCAAAATTACGTTAAAAAATAATTACTGCTCCTTGATTAAATTTCAAAAAGAGGTAATGAGAATGTTGAGGAAAACCCTACAGGTAGTCTTTGTTCACTGACTTCCTCGTTTGTAGTTATAATAGGATGAAAATGTAACTTTGCCACCATTTCTTCCATTTATGACTTTGCAGTTTTGCAAAACAAAAAAAAGCTGAAGTAAGATCTTATAAGGATAATTGTGGTTTCACTTAGCAACTGCTTTGCTTAACAACTAAGTTGCCGGTTGTTCACAACGGCTAACTGTGGTCGTTGAATGAGGTCTATCTGGATCACAGTGTCTGAGGAACTAAGCATTTTATAATTAATATCTCCTTTTTCCTTCTCATTAGGGCAGTAACTGAGGAAGCAGTGATGCTTCAGCTGATGATAAATCATAGTAGCTTCAACCAGCAGAGGCCACCATAAGAGATGCTAGCAGCAGTTTAACAAGACTGGGGGAGTCTCAAGTTCTCCTTTACTGCTTTAGGGAGATGGATACTTTATCATGAGGAATATCCTATGTCTTTTATAGCAGTGGATTTGGATGCTGAGGCCCATGCTACTCTATCTCATATATAATTATTTGAAAACATCTGGAATACATCTGAAGAGGCATGAGAACCCAACATACAAATCAAGATAATATAAGAATTTGGAACTTTTGCATAAAGCGACAATCTCTTTTAGTTATATAGTTACATACATGGCACAGATGCAACAAAGGCTGGTAATTTAATTCATACCTCTCTCTTCTTAGTGAAAAGTCTTAGGAGGAAGCCTTCATAGACAAAGCAATGATGGGTGGCCCAGCTCAGTAGTTATGGCTATATCTTACTCCTTTTCTGCTTTTCACATAACATTGCCTGCCCCCAAAAGGGAAACGTATGAAAGATGTATCTCCATCTATATTGTCTATCTGCCTGCAGCTACATCTTGTCAAAAAGTTCTTTCTCTTCCCTCAATCATCATCAGATGTTATGAAAGCAAACTTTGAAACTCACTCCAATGATATGCTCTTTCTTGGGGTTGTGCAGGGTTTTTCAGGCAGGCATTCTGTGCTCTTGTCTTCCTGAATTGTTCTGGGGATCTTTGGTATTCTGTGCTTTCTTACATTAAGGAAGGTATGGAATGGCTAAGGCAGAGTAACACCTGAGGAGGCCTGTTGAGTTGTTTCTAAGTACAACTGCCACCTGGGGCTGATGATGAGGTCTGGTTGGAGACTTTTTACCCAACCTGGTGGCTTAAATTTTATATCTGGGAGTCAGGGATTCCCTACTTTTGCCCTAGTGAACATTGCCTTTTGTAGAAGAAAAGAGAGATTTTTATCTCTCACAAAAGTACCATACTGAAACCATTAAAGGAGACATCCCATGAAAATAGCCTTCTCCCATATGTATCTATGGTATGTACTTGAACCTTAAATCTTCTAATGATGCTCTCCTCCAGGTCCCCCTACCAAAGGAGGTCAAGTGGACCTCTAACAAAGGGAAGACCTTTTTTGCTGGTGGCACCACACTCATGGAATTCCCTCCCCAGAAAGACTTAGCTGGCACCCACATTAATATCATTCAGGTACTGGGTGGAGAACTTTCTATTTTCCCGGGCATTTCAATTCATATCATTTTAAGACTTTGAGTGATTGCATTGTTGTCCAGTCTGTATGGCGTTTTCATCCTGTATTTTATTTGATTTTATTGTATGAGATTGTATTCACATTATCTCTTTTAATTTCTTTCACTGTAAATCACCTATTGAAGAACATTTAACAAACAAACATAAATATATATTTTTTAAAATGTGTGTTTCCTGGATGTCCAAACAGAAGGGAGGATATATATCTGACAAATAAATATATTCTCACGGTGTTCATAGAGTTTATCCCCAGTAAAAGTGGCTTTTTAAATGAATGCCTGCAAGGCCACTGTACTGACTCATACCTTCTCTGCTCCCTGCTCTTTATTTTCATTTGCCATACTACCTTTTTGCAGGAGTAGCAATGCTGTGCAAACTGCTTCTCATAACAGGGTACACAGTAATTGTCATCATCCTTGGTGATCAGAGGTTTCGTTCCTAGTGGTTGCCGGCAGTACTGGCAAACAAAGCAAGCTTCATGCCAACAATTGCCTTTAAATTCCATTTTACGAGAACCTGCAGATTGAATTGCAATCTCTAGTTACTTTCCTGACAAACAGCTCTTATTTTTTTTTTCAAAATGCACTGAAACAAAGAAGCAGTACAGGTAGTCCGCGACTTACCACCACAATTGAGCCCAAAATTTATGTTGCTGAAAAATTTGTTAAGTGACCCCCCCATTTTATGACTTTTCCTGCCACATTTGTTAAATTAGTAACACAGTTGTTGGTTGTGAATCTGGCTTTCCCCATTGACTTTGCTTGTCAGAAGGTGCAAAAGGTAATCACATGTCCCTGGGTCACTGCAACCGTCATAAATGTGAGTCAGTTGTCAAGCACCCGAATGTACATCACATGACTTATGGGGATGCTGCAACGGTCAGAGGTGTGAAAAATGGTCATAGGTCACTTTTTCTAGTGCTGTTGTAACTTTGAATGGTCACTAAGTGAACAGTTGTAAGTGAGGACTACCTGTACTGAGATACTCTTTCTTTACCAGTTGCATATAACACCACAACACAAAGGACAAACAATTGTCAATAAATACTTTCTGTCAAGATTTCTTTTGCACTATAAAGATTTTCACAAACTAATCACAGGATGTACAAATAACAGAACAATATGAGTGCCCCTGAAGTTTATGATGCTTGTTTCAACACATTTCTTGTAACTTTCTTTTAAGTTTCTTCAGATGTCAGACTTCCAAATCTGTATCCATCTTTCTCTATCTTCTACCATCTCTCTCTCTCTCATCTATCTACCCTCTCTCTTTCATCTCTGTCTGTCTATATCTATCTGTCTGTCTGTCTATTGATCTATCATTTCTCTCTCATCTATCTATTCTCTCATCTATCTACTGTCACTTATTTATCCTCTCTCTATCATCTCTATCTCTATCATATCTCTCTCTCATCTGTCTACTCTCTCATCTATCTACTCTATCTATCTATCTATCTATCTATCTATCTATCTATCTATCTATCTATCTATCTATCTATCCATCCATAATTATCTCTCATCTATCTACTCTCTCTCTTATCTCTCTCATCTCTCTAGCCATACATCTATAATTATCTCTCATCTATCTACTCTCTCTCATCTCTCTATCCATCCATCCATCCATCATCTATCAATTTATTTATCATCTATCCATACATCCACACATATATATAGTGTGTTTGTACACACACACACACACACACACACACACACACACACACACACACACACACGTATCTGTTCCTTTGAGTCCCTGCAGCTTTCTTGGTAAGATTTGCCATTGCCTGTTTCCTAGGGCTGAGAGAGAGAGAGTGATTGATCTAAGGGCACCTCACTGGCTTTGTGCCTAAGATTGGAGTAGTTTCTGCACAGTCTCCTAGCTTCCAACCTGGTGTCTTATCTATACAGTACCACTCTAGTTTCCAAAGCACCACTATGGTGCTACTTTTTTGCAACCTTCATAATTGCAATTGTGTGGACACATGGTGAAATTAATATTAGGATTTATATGCTGCCAACTTAGACAGAGTCATGGCAGCTAACAACAAATCCATAGTAAAACAAAAATACAGTAACGACAATGGTAGCAATTAAAACTTCCACATTAATGATAATTTGAAGAGTCTACAGGATTGGCCATATTTACACTGTGAACTAGGGCCATGATCCAGTGAATAATGTCATAATAACAGAATAGGTAGTATTTTAAATATATATTTTATCATCAGATAATTGGAACTTTACAGTATCATTGCCTCAAGAAATTGAAAAATCATTGTTTGAAATTGCTATGTGAGGAGACTTTGCAAAGCAAAGGAAGACAATTAGAGAAAGATAATTAGAATAGTTTTCTTATATATGGAATAATTTTAATACAAGCATAGTGAAATCAATGTGTTCCTAATCAGTGAGTGAATTAAGTAACATTTTAGATACCAGCATTGCAAATTGAGTTAGTAGAGAACGATTTCACTTTAGCTCCAGTACTGTATTACGTTTAGGTATCTGTGGCAATACACATTTCCACAAGTTTTTTCTTCATTTTATTCATTTGATGAGAGGAAGAACTGTTATGGATATGCTATGAACTGAGATCTGTCTCTGTGTTTATATATCAGTATTCCTGATCTAAATTGACATAAGCAAAGTTAATAATGTGCTTATCTCTGACATGATGGATGGCTGAAACTGGTTAAGGGAAGCATGGAAGAGATAAAGCAAATAAGAAAATTCAGCCAAAGAGTAATAGATTTTGAGTATCATTACTGATGATGAGTTTGCAAGTGCTGTGCTAAGTGAAACTGTAAGCCTGCACAAGTATCTCAATAAGAAAAGCACAAATAGGAAATACAATTATAAATATCCAAAAGCAGGATTTCATCAAGCTGAAGATCCACTTGCCTCTCTTCTTTTAGTAATCAGAGGTTTCCACTGAAGACTATTTGTGACCAGCAAGTTTATGATAAGGGTTGTTATAGGATGGGATATATATTATAATCACTGGTTCTTATCAGTGGGAATCTATTGTTTGAAATAAAGTCAAAGTGAGCAAAAGAGCCTTTGTTTTATGGACAGAAAGAATGGATCATGACCATTTGGATTAAAGACACACACACACACACAAGATTTCAGCAAGCAGTGTTCAGTCTCCCAGGGTTTTTTTTAGGGAAATGACATCCCAATGGCATTCTAGTATAAGTCACTTCTGTTTGATATACTGTCACTGCTTCAGTGACAGCAATGGGACAACTCAACTCTAAAATGTAGTTAGTATATGAATGTATGTATATATGTACATGTGTGTCTACATACATATACACATATTTACATACAAGCTTATGAATATGAGAGGGTACTGCAAGAAAGAAACAGTAATACCAGTGGAAAAGAAGAGTGGGGAGTATTTATGTGCATGAAGAATAATTTTAATTACAATTCTATTAGAAGGAAAGGTACCACAAAAGTCTATGGTTCTGATGTAGTGGAGACCATATCAACAGTGACACATTTTACAGAAATACCAGCAAGTCATTTCCCATTATACTTACTTGTCCCAAAAGCTTGAAAGACGAAGAATTATTAATAGGTTAGGGGATGGAAAAGAAATAGCTGATTTCTACAGCAGCATATGGTCTGTGCAGGGCACATATATGACAAAGTATTCGCCTAAAAAGGGCCTCCGAAGAAAGAAAACCATTTCACCTTCCCCCATCAGATTTTTTTTCCTTACTAATTTCCATGAACCAATGTCTCAAGGTTCAAGTGTCATCCCACCCTTTTAATTTATTTATCCCCATTAAGGAATATCCACCTCCAGCTCTCTGTTATCTTACCAGGCATAATAGTCCTCTTGCAGTGAAAGCACTTAGATGAATATTCATTAGAATAACAAGTTGTACACAGCAGGCGCTCGTCTTTAGCTGCAAAAGGCTTCTCAACCAGGGAGTGATGGCATTGGGCGCACTTGAAGCATGTTTCGTGCCAATGGCAGCCTTTATAAGCAAGATCCTTGGAGAGAGTGAATTTATGTTAGGCAAAAAAAGCATTGGCTATTCAGATTTCAACTGAACAAAACTGCAGGAGTCAGAAAAAGGGCTGCTACAGACCCTTTACATCCTGGACATAAACTGTTTCAATCAGAAATGTTTGTCATACTATGACAGGTAGGAGCAAGCAGCTCGAGATCCCTTTTAATGTCGCAAGAAGAAATTGAGGATGTTTTAAGAAAGCACCTAAGGGACTCATCGCAGAACTTGCGGATCATCTAATCAGGTAGCTGCAATCCTTTATCTTAGGAAAATATTAAACTGCATCTCTTGTACCCAGAGACATCTGCAGGAGCAGCTGAGGGCGAGTGACAAAATCTGCACTGCAACTTCTTCCCTCAAGATGACGCTATATGGCATTGCACCACAAAACACCCAGACACAAGGACAGTTCCGCCCCCCCCCATAACTTCATTCTGCTAAACAACTAATTCCCACAGCACTGTCAAACTACCTAGAAGGGCTGTATTACTATTATCTTTCTCATCCTTCCTATTATCTATTCCTTATCTTCTTATGACTATAGCTTTGTTGCTCATATCTTACCGTTTATATTGTTTTACTCAGTATCCTAGTATGATTTATGTTGAATGCTTATTTAGTATCCTATGACCATCACTGAGTGTTGTATCTTATGATTTATGAGGTTTTTTATTATTATAATCATAATTTATCACTTGTTGCTTGTATGTACACTAGAGCTTATGCACTGGACACAAATTCCTTGTGTGTCCAATCACACTTGGGCAATAAAGAATTCTATTCTATTCTATTCTATTCTATTCTATTCTATTCTATTCTATTCTATTCTATTCCATGAGCTATTAGACTTCACAACAATTGTTCAACAATGACAAAAAAAGGATAATTTTCCTATCCTTTATTCCTCTTCCTTTTTTCTCTCTCCTTGTGATGTTCTCAAGAAGATTGCACTTTCACCATGGTCTGCAAAGGAACCAATAGCTTACTGTACAGGTAGTCCTCAATGTATGACCAGAATTGAGCCCAAAATTTCTGTTGTTAAGCGAGACATTTGTTAAGTGACTTTTGCCCCATTTTACAACCGTTCTTGCCACATTTGTTAAGTGAATCACTACAGTTGACAAGTTAATAACCTGGTTGTTAAGTGAATCTGGCTTCCCCATTGACTTTGCTGCTCAGAAGGTGACAAATGGTGATCACATGACTCTGGGACACAGCAATGGTCATAAAAATGAGCCAGTTGCCAAGCATCTGGATCACCTGATCATGGGGATGCTGCAAAGGTCATAACTATGAAAAACGCTCAGAAGTCACATTTTTTCATTGCTGTTGTAACTTTGAGTGGTCACTAAATGAACTGTTGTAAGATATGTTGTTGTAAGATATACTGTTGTAAGCCCGTATATCTTTAGGTTTGTTATGATGTTATGTTTTAAATTAGTACTTTCCCTGCAAAGGACTCATGAAGAAAGTATGCCTCTGCACCACAGCTAGAGCAGAACTATAATATCTGCACTCAGCTATTAAGCAGAGTGAGACTTTTGCCTTGAGCGGCAGATAGTTGGTGGCTAAGAGAGCAGGGAAATGGGAGAAAAGCCAGACAACCTCTTGACACCATTTAATCTAATCTTCTGCCCTTATTCTGCTGTTCTTTTGTTGTTACACTGCTGAAATATAGCTGGTCTGGTCAATTTTAATGCATGGAGAGAGATAAGACTTTTGTCCTTGCTTCAGATAGTAAAGTGGCTGAGTTCTTTCTTTCTTTCCTTCTTTCTTTCTTTCTTTCTTTCTTTCTTTCTTTCTTTCTTTCTTTCTTTCTTTCTTTCCTTTCTTTCTTTCTTTCTTTCTTTCTTTTTCCTTCCTTCCTTCCTTCCTTCCTTCCTTCCTTCCTTCCTTCCTTCCTTCCTTCCTTCCTTCCTTCCTTCCTTCCTTCCTTTTTTGAGTGCTAATCTGGAAAACGCACACATTTTGTGTGATTCCACCCTATAGACTCCAGCGGCAGTTGCAAAAGAATAGATATTATCATCTTCAACATCATCTGACAACATTTGTTATGAGGAATGTAATTTTTTTAAAAAAAAAGAAAAAGAGAAGATAGTGGTAGCTATCCATGGTAGTTCTGATTCAATTTGGTCACTAAGTAAATTAAGCAATTGCTTTTAGAAACTGGATCAAGATAGAATATAATTTGTGTTTCAGCTACTTTGCTCCTAATGGACATCAAGTTCCAAAGGTTTTTTCTCCAAAACTTTCTGGAAATTCCAGGAGTTGAACTTTTGTCGTGAAAAATAGAACTCCTCCTCACTTGATGATTTTGCAATTGTGATTCATTGTTATTTATTCAATTTAGACACCACCCTTTTACTTAAAGGGCTATCAAGGCAGCTATTCATTGCTAGCGGCTCTTGCCTATGTGCATATGGGAGACAAGAAATAAAAATGTATGTGTATGTGTGTACAGATGTGCATGCATGTATATTTATTTTGGAGAGACTCAATGGAGTTATTGAAGATACCACCCTTCATTGGTGATAATTGCTAATAATAAACTATGGGAAGCACAAAAAAGGAAGGAAGGAAGGGAGGGAGGGAGGGAGGGAGGGAGGAAGGAAGGAAGGAAGGAAGGAAGGAAGGAAGGAAGGAAGGAAGGAAGGAAGGAAGGAGGAATTGCTGAAGGGTACTTTGAGGAAAGACAAAACCAAAACAACATTCAAAGATATAGTTGTTTATTTAGGACTGCCCTATTCCTGGAACTGAGAGTTATAAGAATATATGCAAAAATTAAATTGTCATTTAGCAAACACAATTTTTTTTTTACCAAAGACATCAGTTTTTCTCCTTTTTTCTTGCTTTTTCTTTCTTAGGTATCATGTTCATGTAGACCAGTGGTTCTCAACCTTTCTAATGCCGTGACCCCATAATACAGTTCCCCATGTTGTGGTGACCCCCAAGTGGGTGTGGCCACCAATAAGAGGGAGTAGGACAGCTAGGGAAAAGGAAAAAAATGGTGGACAGCGTGGTTTGGTGACCCCCGTGAAATGGTCGTTCGACCCCAAATGGGGTCCCGACCCACAGGTTGAGAACCACTGATGTAGACAATGTTATAAACATAAAAATGATGAATATTATTTTATTTTCTAGAGAAACTCCCTTTAAACCTTTGCAGTTAAATGGAGACCATTGGCAATATAGAGGAAAGGAAGTCATTTTTCACTAGCTATTTGTCAGTGGAATTTATTTTAAAGATTTTATTCGATCTTATCAATTGAATGAAACCACACATAGAAAAGAAAATCAATGCCGTTATCACTGTGGAATAAATTGTGAGACTAAAACAAATACTTTTTTTTTAAGGGATACTAAGGGACTAAGATGTTACACTGAAGTTAATACAATTATTTAATATCTTTATAAATCTTCTGCAGTCAGATGATGGATGAAACCAATCCTATAGGATCTGCAGGGAATCTACAAACCATTAAAATTCTCAGTATTTCTCCAGAAACTTAATCTCATACTTGACTTTGTATCTGTACAAAATCTATAGATCTTAATCTATGTTTATGTATACAGTGGAAGTAATCTTTGCTTTGCTTTTATTTGGATTGTATAGTAATGTGTCAGTGGATTATGTATTAATTAATATAAAAACATCTTTAGAGTTAGACAGTTAGAACAATTAATCAGTCGAACAACTTGCCTCCATAAGTTGTGAATGCTCTAACACTGGAGGTTTTTAAGAAGAGATTGGACAGCCATTTGTTTGAAATGGTATAGGGTTTCCTGCCTGTGCAGGGAGTTGGACTAGATGATCTCCAAGGTCCCTGCCAACTCTGTTATTTTGTTATCAGGTCACAATGAGGCCCTATATCTGTGCCAGCAATATTAGATATAAATCTTTAAGTTTTTATAATGGACACTGCTGGACTATCAGCAGCAGTTGGTTCTCAAGAGAGAGGTGTGGACTCCATCTTTCATTATTCTCATTATTGGCCATGCTGTTTGGGGTTCACAAGAGTTCAATCAGGCCAGAGGAGTGATACAATACCTATGAAATAAAAAGGTAAAATTTGCAACTGTCCAAATTTTACTTAATTCTGTATAAGCAGACTTGAGCAGTCAGGGAATATTTTAGGAATATCAAGAAGATGTTCGTAATCTGTACTTTCACAAAAGGATTGCCATAAAGATCCTGCCAATTCAAAAGGTAGTGGTTTCTGTGATGTAGACAATCAGAAAACACATTCACCAGGAGACAACTGATGAAATTGTTACCTGCAGACCCCTGTCCTCTTCCAGGATTGTCCCTATCACTTCTGCCTACTTTAGCTTTCTGTTGCTTTATCGACAGATCGAATGCTGCCAAAGAAAACATCCATCCACGTTTATTGTTTATTTGTATTAACATCTCTGTGTTATTCTGTGGTCCAGAGATACATTTGGATATACAGCTGATACTAAAAGCATGATCCCTAATAATTACCAGGTTGCTAGAAATTTTTGCCTACAAAACCAAAGTGGGTGGTAAACTTGCCAGGTGCTAAGGTACAGTAGATATCCAGGGTCATATTCAGTGGTGGGATTCAGCTGGTTCGCACCACTTTGGCAGAACCAGTAACTAATTTTTTGTTGCCCAGGCCTAGAATGGACTTCCAGAAGCGGCATCCACACAGAGAACCGGTTGTTCACATATTTGAATTCCCACCACTAGTAGCAGATTACCAATCTGTAGGTTATTTCATTTGGAACATCCACATCAGATAGTATAGAAAAAAATTGATTGCATATTATAATGCTAAATTCATTACCCAAATTAAATCAAATGTTTCCAACGTTTTAAATAAGTGACAGCACCCTTCTGCTCCCTGCTGACTGAAAACATGCTGAAAGTGAACCCATGAAGCTGGTAAATTTTAGTTTAGGAAATCTAAGCCGTACCAGTTTCTATAGTTGCATTAACATAAGAGTAGCATTAATAAGAATCTCCAAATTATTATAGTAGAACAGACTCACATTACAAATAATAATTGCATAGCTGAGCCTCTGGGTATTTTTTCCCCCAGTGGGAGTATAGATTGTCATGAAACCAACCAGTGCTTACCTTGGAGTCACATTCAATGGCTTTTCGACATTTTTCACAAAAGTTAGCAAACAGGCTGTCATAGCATTTCACACAGACAGTGTTTTCTTCTTTCATGACATATCGTTTTCCACAAAGTGAATCCTGGCAGTGAAAGCACTTTGATTGATCACTTGCCATTTTTAAGCCTTTTAATGCTCCTGCAAATGGAAAGACAAAGCATATATCGATGAAATAATATGGCTGCAAGTTCACGATTCTTAATTTTGGAAGTTCTGCATCGTCACAATGATTCAATTCCCCCCCCCCAAGTTCTAATACAGACGAAGGAACAATTTTAAATCTTTGTTATTCTCATTGATGATTTTGGCAATCACTATATCTGTCTTCTTCAATCTACCCCAACCCCGCTCCTTTAAAATATAAAAATTAAACAACTTGTCAGAACCAGTTTTTATCATTCAGCAAAGTGTTCTTTATGGATGCTAAATAATCCTCAATAAGACCAACCAAGATCAATAGAAAAGTGATTGGCAGATTGCTATCATGAGAAGAAGCAAGAGTCATCGGCCTCCAATATTTGATATTTTTGAGAAATGCGTTCCCAGAAAGATTCATTATCAGTCTAGTGTAAATCTTCCTTATCCCAGCGCACCCACACATGTATATTTTTGGCCTATTCAAACTGAGAAAAACACATTTAGATAAACATTCAAACTTTACGATACAACAGCATCTTCAGAGGTTATTTTAGTCTTGTTATTTGCCCATTGGACCAGAAGGACTTTGCTAAAATTAGGGCACGGGTTCCTGAGAATGAAGAAATAAACAGAATCCAAAACAATTCCCAGTGACGCTGATCACAAGCCATCTGTTGGATTCATTGAATTCTCTCTATCATAATATCACTGTGCAACTCCCACCCATAGCACAGGATTTATTATGGGTTTAAAGAAGAAATAGCTGGAAAAAAACAAAAAACAAAACAAGAAAACCCTTTTGCATCTTTAGCACAGGTGTGTAAACTTGTTCAAAGAGGTGTGCTTTGGAATATGTCTTAGAAGAAATCAACCAAAAGAAAAGTTTTGTTCCTTCTTTGCAGACTTCTACTGACACTTCTTAATTTGTATATTTTTCTCCATGCATTAAATCACTGGTCACATTCTACTGCTGGCTGGATAGTGTCTGAACTGACTTATTTTGCAGGGGTACTTTATTTCAGTTTTAATAATTCTACCCAGCAATTTTTAACATAGCATATGACAGTATATGTTTTAACTGCTATTTATTTAATTTCTACGTTCCCTGTTAAGTCCAATTCTTTTTTCCTTTCTCTCTCTCTCTCTCTCTCTCTCTCTCTCTCTCTCTCTCTCTCTCTCTCTCTCTCTCTCTCTCTCTCTCTCTCTGTGTGTGTGTGTGTGTGTGTCTCAAAGGAGAGAGTGAAGCATGCAAGGAACCCTCACATGCATTTTAAGTTAAAATGTAATGATTCCTTATTGAGAAGGAGAAGAGACTAAATCCAGTTTCCTATTCCTGAATAGGTAATTCCACGTTTTTTGCAAAGAAAAGAAAAACCTTCATGCATATACTGTATAGGTAGTCCTTGACTTACGGCAATTGAGACTGGAATGTTTTAGCAACTAAGCAAGGTGGTTGTTCCATAATTATCATGTTCATTAAATGAATCCAGCTTCCCCCATTGATTGTTTGTTAATTTGTTATCCTCTAGGAAGGTAACAAATGATCATGTGACCTTGGAATGCTGCAACCATCATAAATGCATGTTAGTTGCCAAGTGCCCAAATTTTGATCATGTGACCATACAGTCACTGCGGCAGTTGTAAGTGCAAGGATCAGTCAGAAATCACTTTTTTCAGTGCCATCAGAATGGGAGAAATCTTGGAGGTCATCTAGTCCAGCCCCCAGCTCAATTAGGAGACCCTATACTATTTCAGACAAATGGCTGTCCAATCTCTTCTTAAAAATCTCCAGTGTTGAAACACCCATAACGTCTGGAGGCAATTATTCTAAATGATCTTTTTTGGTGTGCCCCATATCAACTTGTAAAAGAGGGGTACTTCTTGCATGATGTTTACCATCTGCTTAAAAAAAATGGATTTCATCCATATTAAAACTGCTTTGAATTTGGTTCTTCCTGCCTACAGATCTGTGCCAAACTGGATTGGGAATGGTATTTAAATAACAGATATTATTCTGTAAATATATAAGCATATCCATAAGAGTTATTACTATTGCAGATTTCTCTGGTAAAAAATGAACTAGTGATGAAGAACTGAGTTTTTATATCTATTCCTGGAGGATTTGTGGTATGACAGCGTGGGGGAGTGGAAGAATATGACAAGGATGGAATGCTATCTCAGGCCAAAAATAGCAATAGCTTTATTTGGCATAAGCAGTGGAAAATTTCTTACCCAGCGCATTCAAAATCATTGCATTTAAGTTCTTTCCTGCATCTCCAACTGTGTCACAGCTCACCACTCTCCAAAACAACACGCAACACAATCCATTAAAGCAAGCCACAGCGTAAACATTTGTGAAAGCCCATACTTTCACAAATATTGTTCACTTGTTTTAGATCAAATACTCTTAAAATATCCTAAATTTTAAAAAAATAGTCTGCTCCAACACAGCACTCTTTATAGTTATGAATTAAGAGTGCATAGCTGGAATCATTTAGCACACATTTCTTGCCAGTTAATCATTTAAACAGTATCAACTTTATCCTCTATACATTTAAAGCATGCAGAGAGAGTGACAGGATAATAAACCACGCAGAAACACCCAGATTAGACGAATAGGGTTCACATATCATTTTAAGTCATAATGTGTTAGTTTTGGCTCAGAATATTAGGTGAACCCACCCACTGAGGTTGATAAGTCAGTCATGATTTATGTCTCAGCATATTGTGTGAACCTGACAAATCAGGTCCTAGTGGACATGTGACTATATTAACAATAAAAAGTAGGGATCCTAACTAGACAAAGGAAGATCATACTTCATATATGACATATGACAGCATTTGGCTAAAAAAAGTCTTTCATTTGATTCCTGTTCTTTCTGATGAATTTTGTAAATGAAAGAGCAAAGGAGCAAGGCATGTTCTTTCAGTCTCACCCCTTCCATCTGCTGTCTGAGACTTAAAAGCACTGATTTATCATAACTGATAAGGATTGCAGTTAGATAACCCTATGATATAGTTTGAACACCTAAAAGCTGTACAGATGCTAACTATGAAGTGTTTTCTGTTTTATATTAACTGATAGAGCCAGGGGTTCCATTGAAGGTGAATAAATCAAAGTTCTTTCTCCAAATTTAATTTTGATTTTGAAGTAAATAACCTCTCTTTTTGTTGCATCTTTATCAGATCCACAAAATTAATAAGAGTGATTAAAGACTCCTGAGCTTAAAGGCGCTGAGCTTGTCAGTTGGAAAGCTGACAGCCTGGGTTTGTGACCTGAGTAGCACACGATGGGATGAGCTCCTGTTCTTGCTCCAGCTTCTGCTTCTCTAGCAGTTTGAAAACATGCAAATGCAAGTAGATAAATAGGTACCATTTTGGTGGGAAGATAACAGCATTTCGTGCACCTTGGCATTTAGTCATGCTGGCTACACGAGCATGGAAATGTCTTGGACAAAACTGGCTCCTTCTGCTAGAAAATGGAGATGAACACCCCCCACCCCCACCCCCATCCCCGCTAGTGTCAGACATGACTGGATAGGGGAAACCTTTGTCTTTACCTTTCTCCACTAGGAATCATGAGCTGAATGACAACTAGTTAGATGTGTTTATCCTGAATCGTTGGCTTTGTTATAACTAACATAATCTCATAAACATATTTTGTTTTTTTTACAGATGTGGATAGGAATATATTCTTCCTTTGAACTTTATTATATTTTTTCCCAGTCTTAACATTTTGTCAAACTCCTTACTGAAATTGGAAAAGACAAGTTAGCATCGGGGTCCTGTCTTCTGCCATTTCTTCAAATTATATCCTTGTCAGCATCAATAGAAAAGAGACCTCTTTGATATGTTTTGATCCTGACTTGTATTAGAAGCTGCAGATGTCAAGTAAAACCACAAGGCAGAAATGTCTAGAAAGTGAAAAAGGGTGGTTGACTTAACCCAGGTTTGTTCATGGGCCTAAAACAGCCCATCAGAGTGATTAACTCCTGTTTCTTTTGTCCTCACAAGATAAATATGGGTTTGTGCTACTTTGCTGAAGAGGAATCTTTTCTGCTCCTTTAATCCTAATCTTTAGAGGAATATGCTGACTTTAATTTCACTAAAAGTTAGATTTTGTGTTTGGATACATCAGATAAAAAGATAGAGAACTGTTGCTGCTGACATTGCTGGACTAAAAGATTAAGTCCTATTCTTCTTGGTTCCTCAGTGCGCAGATTTATTAACTGCGTGACTGCATTCATGTAGAACCAGGGTTCCCATATTAAGCCTACATCAGAGTACAGGTCATCCATGACTTACAGCCATTCATTTAGCGACCATTCAAAGTTACAATGACAGTGAAGAATATGACTTATGATTGGTTCTTGTAACTGTGACTGTTGCAGCATCCCCACAATCATGTGATCAAAATTTTAACACTTGGCAACCAGCAAGTATTTATGATGACTGCAGCAAACAAAGGTCATGTGATCACCAAGCAAAGTCAATGGGAGGGAGGTGGATTTGCTTAATGGCTGCATGATTCACTTAAGAAGGTTGTAAAATCGGACATGACTCACTTTGCTTAGCAACAAAAATTGTGGTCCCAACTGTGGTTGGAAATGGAGGGTTACCTGTAATATTTCTCACACTTTTTGGTTTCTTCTGTAAAAAGTGACATTTTAACATTATATTTACTCAAATGACCTGGATGACTGAGAAACTCCGTAGACATTATGTTTACTATGAAATGGTATACAATATAAATGTGGCCACAAGTATCTTCTTGGTGCCCACCACACTTCCTACCACAACTGATTAAATTAAATTAAAGGGCAGATACAAAATGTAGTCTCAAATGTCAGTTTTACTCAAAGCACTCTGAGCTCCACACAAAACTACTTGGACTATATAAATGGCTGATGACCCAATGTAGAACATGCCTATTTGTCAGAGAGACCAAAAAGTGTCAGGAAGGCCATTCCATAGAGCTAAAAAGATAATTGTATGCTGGTCAATGAGGATACATTCAAAATATGTAATTAAATGATTTTTTTTTTCCGGTCACAGAAAAAAAACTTTGAGAAAGTCATTGCTGACTTTCCACCTTTTCATTCACACTGTTTATCATGAATGCTTGCAATGTTTTCTTTCACTTCTACAGATTAGACCCTCATAAAGTGACTTGCATGGACATAGAATGAAATGAAATAGCAGGAGTTAACAATATGATGTGATGGGGAAAAAAAACCCTAATGCAGGATACAGAACTATAAACCACAACAATTGAAAGTTTTTTTATGATATCTTAACAAAACTGGATCTTTGTGCTCCTCGCCACACTGACCAAGAGCCTGGAATAAGGTTTTACAAAAGGTTATAAAGAAAAAAAAAGTTATGTCTCATGAATAACTGATTACATTCGTATATGGCAAGAAAAGCTCCTAATTTTATGTCAACAGAGAAATTATCAACCAGATTCAAACCTCGAAGCTGGTGCTGCATTCTTGCTTTCACTCCAATCTATATTTATTCAATATTGCAAATATTATAAAATGACTCCTTTTTACACTATTCTGTGCCTGGCATTTTTACATATTCTAGTTCCTGCTCCCTTCTTCAGTATCCTATGAAATTGAACTACAAGACCAAAGAGTACTTTTTTTAAAAAAATCATCCTTGGTTTTAGCTTGTTGTGTCTACATGGTTACATTTCTATTGTTAGCACAGAAATGTGATTTTAAACAGAAAAAATCAATGCTTAACTAAGAAAACTAAGTTATAAGCCTTTGTAGATATTTTTTCAGCTTTCACATACCACAATGATTTATAGACAAATTCATTCTATCCATATTGAGAAAAATATTTTAAAAATGTCAAGGGTATGTAATATTGAGAATAAAATAAAATAAACAAATGACATGTCAGAATTTTTCCCCCTCATAGTAATATATTAAGATCTAGGTTTACGTATCCTAATTTTATCCCTCTTTTGGGTGTGGGGTAGATGGGTAAAAACACCAATCCACCTGACTCTTAGTGGAAAATTCCATTTAGGCATGAAGATTGTTGATTCAATACTTTTAAAATATTTATGATAACCTTTATTTGATCTTGCATCCTTTTAAAATTCTTTAAGTGATGTCAGATTACCCAGGATTTTTTTTTAAATAGTACCACATTAATCTCTTTCAGCTAACATGACACTCTCCTGGATATAGGGTTGGTTTTGTACGCAAAAATTTGCTTCAGATTTTTTTTCCAGACTAATTCAACCAAATATAGCATGATCCGTACCTAAAATGGAAGACTTGGGTTCTTCCAATTTTTTATTTATATATATATTTAAAAATATTTGATTTCCAGTTTTATTAATCACGATACTGCCTTTGGTTATCATTTATTTATCTTTCTTTTTTTACATAAAAAAAATACGGTAAGGAGTGCTGGGAATATGCAGTAGACTTAGAAGTCCTGAATTTCAAATAGAGGGATTACATCCTATAAATGCCACCTCTGGTAATTCTTTGGAGAATTTTCAAATTAATAAAGTAAAAGGAAATAAATTAAAAGTTTTTTTTTTTAAAAAAATGGTGCAGGGCACTCACGAAGTTCCATACTAAAAAGCAGAGACATCACCCTGCCAACAAAAGTGCGTATAGTCCAGGCCATGGTTTTCCCAGTTGCAATGTATAGCTGTGAAAGTTGGACCATAAGAAAGGCTGAGCGCCAAAGAATTGAGGCCTTTGAACTATGGTGCTGGAGAAGACTCCTGCAAGTCCCTTGGACTGCAAGGCGTTCAAACTGGTCAGTCCTAGAAGAGATCAACCTCGAATGCTCTTTAGAAGGCCAGATCCTGAAGTTGAAACTCAAATACTTTGGCCACCTAATGAGAAGGAAGGACTCAGTGGAGAAGGGCTTAATGCTGGGAAAGATTGAGGGCAATAGAAGAAGGGGACGACAGAGAATGAGATGGCTGGATGGAGTCACTGAAGCAGTAGGTATGAACTTAAATGGACTCCAGAAGATGGTAGAGGACAGGAAGACCTGGAGGAGCATTGTCCATGGGGTCGCGATGGGTTGGACACGACTTTGCAATTAACAACAACAACAACAACAAAGTGTGCTTCTGAGAGTTGAATTACTTCTTGGGAATCCATTTTCAACCTTTCTTGCCATAATTGTCAAGCGAATCACTCACAGTGAATTTGGCTTCCATATTGACTTTACTTGTCAGACATTTGCAAAATGTGATCACATGACCCTAGGACAGGGGTAGGCAACCTTGCCTCTTTTATGACTTGAGACTTCAACTCCTAGAATTCCTGAGCCAGCATGGCTGGCTCAGGAATTCTGGGAGTTAAAGTCCACGAGTCATAAAAGAGCCAAGGTTGCCTACCCCTGCCCTAGGACACTGCAACCGTCATAAATATGAGACAATTGCCAAGCGTCTGAATTTTGATCATGTGCCCTTGGGGATGCTGCATCAGTCATTAAGTGTGAAAAAGGTCATGTCACTTTTTTCAGTGCCATTGTGACTTCAAACGGTCACTAAACAAATTGTTGTGAGTCAGGGACTGGCTGTACTGTTGATTCTACTATTTGTAATGAAGCAGCCTCTTACATTTTGGAACTTCACTGCTTCCTTGAACTTGTGGGGAAAAGAATGCCATATTTTGATTCTAATTAGAAAAACAAATGAGGCAATTTCAGCACAGCAGTATAATAATAATAATACTAAAGTTGGAAGGAACCTTGGAGGTCATCTAGTCCAACCCCCTGCTCAGGCAGGAAACCCTATACCATTTCGGACAAATGGCTGTCCAGTCAAATGTACAGTGTGGATGCAACCAGAAATATTGCACAGTAGAAAACAGAAAGCACCTGTTGATGTCTAGGTAGCATTTTGTAATTATAGCTGGTTCTTTTTATTGAGGCATTTTTAAATTTTAACTATTAGCCTATTTCTAATATGTGCAGTTTCTGAAGGCTAAACATGGATTCTTTCTATTTTTAAAAAAGCTTGAAACTATCACAAATGGTTGACCTGATTATTGGCCATAACATAATTATTTTAAATGACTTAAGTAATCTGGCCCATAGGCAAATGAAGACAACTACTTTGCTGAAGCCAAGGAGCTCTGCATTCCATGATATAGATATTACAAAAAATAAAAAGCATGAAGTTTAAGGCATTATTTCAAGCTTAGGGAATAGATAAATAGAAGTTGCTATGTCCGGAAAAAAGGCCTTGCAACAAAGTGCAAAAAGCGATTTGACTAATTCACAACATAGATCCCTATTTTTGGTTCCATTTGTTGCAGGATGCAGAAGCAGATTCCTGAATTGGGAATTGGTGTGATTCATTGTGGTTAACCCTTAACAATTGGAATTACATGTGAGAAACGCAAGCTTGCACCTCTGCTCCTTCCCAAAGCAACATATTGAAGAGCAAATCATGAGATCTTCTCATGGTATGATTATGATCCATCAGTAAGTGAAGTTAGATTGATGGATTTGTTTATTTGGTAAAAGTATATATCCACCCATTGCATAGATCCTACTTTGATTGGATTCCAGTGAATGGATCTGTACTGTGTCTTCTCTGAACATGTGAAATTCCCAGGCACAAAAGATACATATGGTCCAATTTAAGAGTTCATCTTTGAAGATACTTTATTCAACTAATGTTTTGTTTGCTTAATCAGAAACTTTTAGACGAAGGTAGTGATGATCAGTTCTTCTAAGAAAGCTTTATATTTCTTACTGTAGGAGCAATGTGCTCTGTAAAATACATTCATCTACTTCAGTGGCTCCCAACCTTTTCTATACCCTGCACCCCTAGAACGCTTCTGATATACTCTCGCACCCCTTACAAAAGTTCAAAATAACGGCAACAAATTATGAATATACACTATAATTTTGAAAACCCAAGTTTTCGCACCCCCTGAAATATCGTCGAGCACCCCTGGTTGGGAACCCCTGATCTACTTATTCTTTTTTCCTCATAAATAAATATTACATCTCTCTTGTACCTGCCTAAGCATTGCTTACCCCTTTATAGCCCTTACTCTACTTTATCTTTGCATCTATGCTGTTTACACCACCAGACTGTAAGAATTATCTTATTTAGCAATGTATCACACAAGGGTGGTAGATTCCTTTTGGTAGCAGTAGATAATTTTGTAGGGATTTACTTATTTATTTAATGTATCAAGGAACTTATAAGCTTGTTAAAAATGTTGTATTTGTAAGTACAGAATACTGTTTTTATTGTAAGATCTGGTCAAATTATATCATAAAGATATTTTACTTATTTCTAAATAAGCACATACGTAATAGGGATGTGTGTGTGTGTGTGTGTGTGTATATATGACTTTATCTGCAGATTAACCCAAGTTTTAACACACTAACAGCATACAGTTTGCAGCATTATTCCTTATTCAATTTTCCAGAAATGTTCCCCATTCCATAGTTTTTCTCAGAATAAAACTTCTGAAGCATCTAATATTAATTAGTCCTTCCAGTGCAAAAAGTGTACTTTTTTGATATATTTTTCCACTATCCATATAGTGAATATTAATTGACACATTTTGTCAATAGGATTATTGACAAGAAAGGGAACAAAAGTTATACATCGTATTTCATAAGGGCAACTGTGGGAGAAGATGCTTAGCATAGTTGATTAATTGATTAATATTTTGAAATAATGACAGGCAAATAATAGATTAGAAAAGAAAAAAAACACCTTGTCACAATACTCACCTTATTTTAACAGTTGCTTCTTGTCATCTTTGGATCCAGAACAAAAAACCTTGAAGAAACAAGCACCAACTGCCAGCCCTGTTTTCCTTCTGCAAAATTCTTTTGGTTTTGGGAAAAGCAGCCAAGAAGGTCACTGTTTCCTTTACATCTCACACAGCTGACTCCCTTCCGATTTGTCATTACACCACAGCTTGCAGATTGGAGTGCAAATGCATGTAGGAGGGTCTTAAATAGGCTTATACTTCAGAAGGAGGGAGGAGACATTTCCAAGAAACCACAACTAGCAAAATAACTTGTCCTGGATTTTCCACCCAAAAGAACTGATCACGTAGAAACAGTTGTTTACAAAATCGCAGTTGTCCGGCTCACATATAATACTGAATTAAGCTAAAAACCAAACCAACTACGTGGTGGCTGAGTAAAATGGAGGAACCCAGCCACCGACTCATAAGGTGCCACATTTTATGGGTCCATCCAAATTGGGCCATGTTTACATAAGTTCTAGCAGTTCTAATAGAAACTGGGTGGCCATGAGCTTGGCTTTTCAGAATACCGTCCTCCTATGGTAGCATTTTAATCAAGGTCATCGAGGTGCCATCTCTGTCCGTGGTGGGCCCAACAGCTCAGTTTACCTCTCATTTCAAGGAAGGCGTTTGAAATATTTCGGGAGCACAAAGCGTTTATTTTTGATTTTTTAAAAGTTCGTGCAACTTCTAGCAGCCTCCACTGCAAACCATAGTGAGGTCATACTGTTGGCCTAATCATGCAAATGCTGCAACTACATACATGTAATCCTTGGCTTACAACAGTTCATTTAGTGACCATTCCAAGTTACAACAGCACTGAAAAAAGGGACATATGACCTTTTTCACATGACCGTTGCAGCATCCCCCTATGACAATGGTGGCGAACCTATGGCATGGGTGCCAGAGGCGGCACTAAGAGCCCTCTCTGTGGGCACACATGCCGTTGCCCCAGTCCTAGGCCTTCAGTTGGATTTTATAAAACCTTTTTGTTTTAGGCCTCTGCCGCCGTGTATTAAAAAAAAGGTTCAATCTATCAGTCAATTTCAACTTCTCGCAGGAAAAAAAGATATCTCACAAAGTTGGAATTGTTTGAACCTTTTAGTCCCACCCAGTCTGCCATTACCACTGCAGCCATGCCCACCGAATTGGCCACACCCATCCAATTGGCCACACCCACCCGGCACCCGATGATGCATAAGTGGGTTTTGGGTTGCAGTTTGGGCACTCGATCTCTAAAAGGTTCGACATCACTGCCCTATGATCATGTGATCAAAATTTGGATGCTTGGCAAGTGGTTCATATTTATGACAGTTTCTGTGTCCTGGGGAAAGTCAACGGGGAAAGCCAGATCCACTCAACAACCTTGGTACTAACTTAAGAGCTGCAGTGATTCACTTAACAACTGTGGTAAAATGAGATAAAACTCACTTAACAAATGTCTCACTTAGAAACGTAAGTGGTTGTTAAGTCGAGGACTACCTGTGATTGCTTCAGGATATCTGACGCAAGTACACAAGTCATAGCATTTTTGTGATCATCACGCACAAGATTTCACTTTCCTCGGTTGCCCGACTCATACATATCCAGAATTGCTGCTCCTGGCTGCCTTCATATTTTGAAGTTGCTGTGCATGCATTCGGAAGCGAACATTTGGAACAGTTTCCAAAGGCAGCTGCAAGACCTTGGAGGAAAAAAGATTCAGCTGCTTTCATGATTTGGTGTCAGTCCTCCTGAGTAAACTAGACAGGAATCACGAGTAAATGAGCTAAAATCTGCCTAATTGTTAAGTCTACATTAACAGAGCAAGTCTGAAGGTACAAACTTCCCTTCACCACTTTTAACCATTTGACACTTGGGCAGGTCTTTGCTAAGTTTTGTTCTCGGTCTGTTAAGCAATTGTAGGCTCCTCCTTCTCATCTGTTTCCTAGGCAGCAGGATTTAGGTTTGGCTAGACTAGAAAAAAAAAGGTCTGGGGGGGGATAGCAGTATTTGAGAGGCTGCCGCAAAGAGGAAGGGGTCAGTTTATTCTCCAAAATACCAGAGGGCAGGACAAGAAACAATGGATGGAAACTAATCAAGGAGAGAAGCAACCTGGACTTAAGGAGAAACTTTCTAACAGTGAGGACAATTAACCAGTGGAACAGTTTTGCCTTCAGAAGTTGCTTCATCACTGGAGGTTTTTAAGAAAAGACTGGACAGCCACTTGTCTGTGATGGTATAAGGTCTCTTGGTTGACAGGAGGTTGAACTATAACACCTCCAAGGTCTCTTCCAGCCCTTCCAGTTCTGATTGAAGCCAGGTCATCCAAACACTCCATTTCATTTGGAGAGATACTTCTTTTGGGCTTGTTTGAATACTTCGTGCACTTCAAGCTCATCCTGGCTTTTCTTCAGTTTATGAGTACAATGGGAATACTTATATAGTATAAGTATTCAATTCAACTGGAATTGAAAAAAAAGTCAACTTTCAAAGCACAATGATCAGTATTAGTTCCACTTTAGTTGCAAATTACTGTTCTCTGCAATCTGTAGAATTACTTGTAGACATGGGTAGACATTATTGTATAAAATTGGATCTTTCTTCTAGACTTGAAGAAATTTTAGATCTAGAAATTTCTAAAACAAATTTCCAGCTTTTCCAGGCAAAATGTTGACTTCCATCTTAATTGCTTTTCTATCTTATTATATTCAGGTCCATTTTCAAACTCACTTCTGCACGTAACCTTTGCAGTTATTTTCCATATTATAAAATGTATAAGAATTACTGGTGTGATTTCCTTTATCTGTTGCACCAGACAAAATTAAAATACAGATTCATGCAGGGACACAGAAGTATCTAATAAATGCCTATGGATATCTGGTTTTTAAACTGGTATCAGAAGGTTGAAATTTTGATGTCTCAGGGTATTAAAAAGATAAAATAAATACACCAACATATTAAAGGCGGTTCTTGTTTACAAAATATAGCAAAAGATTTGTAATCCTCTAGTTCAGGGGTAGGCAACCTTGGCTCTTTTATGACTCGTGGACTTCAACTCCCAGAATTCCTGAGCCAGCTACCCCTGTTCTAGTTAGAATAAATATTTGAGAACATCATTTGTTTTAATTAAAACATTTAAAATATAATTTTATTCAGAAGCCCTTACAAAATGCACTATTGTACGTATATTTATAGTTTAGGATAACCATATAAAGCTATATCTAGTAACAAGTTAGATATGCTGAATAGGCATTTGTAAAATGAGAGTTGAGGTATTTGTGTAATTAGCTTCTGTGATCTATGTTTTTTATCATTGACTTAGTGCTATGCTGTTTGGATGCAATATGAGGCAGAGAACTGATTACAACAGATCCCACAGATGCTAAAACTCATAGTTACATTTAGAATGAAACACAGAGACTACTAGCTAATATACACATAAAACTGGCATGTGGTGATTTAGTAATTTACTTGATTGCTTTTACCATTTGGCAAGTAATAAACTAGCAACTCATCCTTATCTGCAAATGATTGAGCACTCCATGCAAATTTGGGCTGGAACCCTGGTGGATACTGCTGGCCTCCCAGTTTTCAAATAATTTTAAATCACAACCCTGTCACTTTAGTTCTCTGATCCTTTCCAGTATCTAAAGTTAGATCAGAACATGAAAAAAACTAGTATTATTTTCATTAAAAGGAGATCCTGAAAGTTAATGTTGGAATTTAATGAGAATCTTTGATACACACACACACACACACACACACACACACACACACACACAAAATTGATTCTGTGATTTGGCGGGGTGGTGGTGTTTAAAAGAGTTGATTATTGTGCATGGCTCCAAAGTGATTCTTTTCTATCAGTAGATCAAAACTGAATTGCAATGTTTAATTTGTAAGAACAAATGAAGGAAGGACAGGAATACAGAATAAGGCAAGACTGTTCTCCAGAGGAAACTTGGAAGCACTGAGGTAATACTGCAGAATGAAAGAAAATGGAACTCATGTAAGTAGCAGAGGGAGGGACAAAGTGAGGGACGGAGAGAAAATGGGAAGGACAGGTGCAAAATATGTCATAACGGAGATGATACTAGCATGGAGTAACCAGATACATGATGGAGACATGGGAAAACTAGGAGGGTAGGACTTGGGATAAGGCAGGGAGAAAAAAAAAACTTGTCCAAGAGGAGAGGAGGAAGAAAATAATCTCATTTTGAGACAAGTATTCTGCTATGATTTTATAACTCCAGTTTGGTAGAAGTCAACCCCTTGAAATCCAGCTGTCACAACCCTATTTTATGCCTTGATCTGAAACCAGAAGATGCAAATTACAGTACAAATGCAGACAAGACACGGAGAAACAACATCGATTCTGGTATTATGATAGTATCCAAAAAGCACCACCATATTATTGCATATAAACTGAAAAAAAAAATCAGGAATTACATGAGTGTCAATAAACCAAATGCTTAATATAGTATTAAAGTCTGATTAATTTATACTGCTAAGACAAATAGATAAAATCAAAGAACACAGCAGCACTTTGTACAAAAATAAGAATAAACTCCTCCAAGAATAGCATTAGGACAAAATAACTCATTCAACAACATTGAGAAATACAGAAACTGATGAAAGTGCAAGTGATTGGCTATAACTTGTTTTTTCTTCTGAAAGAAAATAAAATCCTATTATTATGGATACTATTGAAGAAGCATCTTGCAATAAGCAGCCATAGATCCTATTTAAGTTCATTTATTATAAAAATACTGCACGCTAGCAAAAACATAAGCTAGAATATACTTGGCCTCCAGGGAATATTAAAAATCTTGGGTGGGCAAATTTTCTCCCCCCCCAAAGATCAAAATATTATGTATTTATATTTATAGTATTTAATCTTTTTGAGTAACTTTAAGAATACCAGACACTCTTGACCATTTCCATTTTCTTCATAATAATGTTTTGACTTTGCCACCGTAAGAGCATATGCATAGTGCTAAGCATTCTTCCCAAAAATCATGTGTGTTAAAAAAAAGGTTACAATGGCGGTGGTTGAAAGATCAAGTTCTCCATACATTGTCATGGAGAAAAACTATTTGGTTGATAAGGGCTGACACTGACTTGATGACATATAATCAATTAATTTTTTTTGGGGGGGGGGGAGAAATAGCAATTTACTATTTCCCTCTTTCTCTAGTAGACAGTTCTGGAGGATAACATACTAAATTGGAAACACAGTCTTGTATGTTACCAAATGATTCTATGTTAAGGCAAGTCATGATTTTGCAAAAAATATTAAGAATTCCTGGGGGGGGGGGAATCTCTCTTGTATTGCATCAACTCAGCTGAATGTATGAAATTGTAGATTTGCAAATTACAAAGAATTGCCTAGACAATGTTGTATAAAATCTGAAAGTTGCCATGACTCTATATAAAGCGCTTCAATAATACTATTACTGATATAACTAATATATTTTATATTTAGAGATCATTGCTGCAGGCAGCCATAGACTCAAAAACCAAGTATTAATTCTGTTTATAAACAGAATAATCACCTGATTCAAGAATTATCAGCTGTACAAAAACTAAGGAAATCAGCTGCCCAGTGACCAAAATGTAAATTATGTTTGTCAAAAAAAAATCTTATTTATTTATATATCAAGCTTCTTAGCTGCCCATCTCCCTTATAGAGGAGCTCTTGTTTCTATTTTCCCTTTCTTCATAATTAATATTCAGCGAATATTTCTCGAGTAGATGCACACACTGCTACTACATTATCAGATTCTGGGTTTTATAATATAGTGCAGTTTTCCAAGCAAAGCTTCTAAAAGCCAGGGCTGTTTTAAGATTATCAGCAATGATTTTTTTCTCTAAGGAAATATTGACTCTTTGAGAAGCCTGAAGGAAGTTTATTAGGTTTAACATTCCTCTGTTACAGAAGATTTTCTGGACCTGAGAATAAGATCTTTGACAGAGCCAGACAGCTCCTGAAGCTCTTTCCAGATGGCTTCTGTGTTTTCTTCGGTGTTCAAGGTTCTCTCGACTGAATCATCATCGCCTTGTCCAATCTTCTTGTTTTGACTGATCAGTTGCTTCACTACTAATCCCTGGTATTTGACAAGAAGAGAATGCTGATCCTAAAAGAAACAAATTAAAAATCAAAGTGGCTCCTATGAAGGCTAATTAGATGTTACAACTGAAATAGACAAAAATAAACTCAAAAATCCAGAGAAACAGGATCGGTCAAAGGAAGTGACAGATCACGAGTTCCAGTCTTGCCTTAAATTATGGAAGCCAGCTGGGGGACTTTGGGCCACTCACTTTCTCTTAGGCAACTTACTTCAAGGGCTGTTTTTGTGGGGGAAATGGGAGGTGGAAGAATTATGGATGCCTCCCCAAGATGCGCAAAATGAAAGTAGAATGAAAACCTAACAAATTAAATAATTAAGGCTTTCTGAACATGATGATGACATTGGGATCAAAGCAAAAGAGAAATGTACAGTTCTGAACACCGTGTCATATTTTAGTTCTTTTATGAAGAATATGTCAGATCCAACGTAACAGCTGCATCAAAGGCCTGATTTGTTAACCCAGAGTAATTCATGTCCTTGCAGACTTAAAATAGTTTGCTAAAATACAGTAATAGAAATACAACCAATTACAAAACAATTCTATACATCCACGTGAAATTAAGGCCCATCAAATTCAATGGATCTTTTCCAGTAAATGAACACAGGAGTACCCACAAGCAAGGGCTATACAGCATTGTATCTATTATTACATCCCAAGCTCCATCAGTTTCTATTAGTCAGGTGAAAAATCCATGTTTGTGGGAAAGTTTTTTATTATTATGTCAGGTTGGCATAGCTTATGGGCCAAAATTAGACTCATAAGATTTTCTATTTCTATTTACCAAAACTCTATCATAGCAAAGTCTCCTCCCCTGCCCAAAGATTTCTCTACTTAATTTTAATTCTGCCAGTTCTTCAAAAATAGTGGTTTACCAATGCACTGTAAAACCTTGGGAGAAAAAAAAAGGTTTAGAAGGCTTCTGGTTTTGTGCAGTAGTGCAGCAGCCAAAGGATTGTGGGGCTCCGCACCCTACGGCTGATTTCTGCCTGCTAGGGGACCCTAAATGGGCATGAGGCTGCCCTGGAGAGGCAACAAAGAAGGAAGAAAGTCCTATCGATTGAAGAGAGACGGCGGTTGATCTGATCGGTTTGGGAAAAGCCCTCCCGAAACCAGCAGGAGAAAGGCTAGCTTAACTTCAGAGTGTAGCCCAAGCTACAACAGCTGAAGCCCAAAAGCACTACTTTAAGCTGACTGTAAACAATGTGTTTGGAATCGGTGTAATCTGGATAAGTTTGAAATCGGTGTAATCTGTTAAGATTTTCATTTTAAACCATGAAAATAAAAATAAACAATTGTCTATTACTGACCAGTGCTGACATCTAGTGGTGGATGAAAATATACAACAGCAGTTGCTTTATTACAGGGACTGGCAAAGCCCAGGAAAAGATAACTTGTTTTTGGTGACCTTCAATGTCTTAATAACAGAGAACAGCTGTGACAAAAAAAAAGAAAACATTTTGGGCTATCTACAAAGTGAGAATTATCAACTCTAAAAAAAAGAATTGACCTTTCTGGATTACAAATACCAACTCAACTGTGATTCTAAAGCTGTCCGCAGAAAAAGGAAAACCCTGATTTTTAGCTATCATGGAAAACCAGAAATCTGCAGAAAGAATATACCAAGGAAAAAATATACTTTCCAGAAGGAGATCTATGCTATGTTGCAACTAATCAAAACAATAATGATCTCAAACCACGAGGAAATTAAAAATAACTTTGAAAATATAAATGGATACATCTCCAAGTTAACTTTACAGCACAAAAATTCTCAGAAAATAAAAACAGAGTGAGCAGAAAAAACAGACAACTGAATACGAGACAGAGGAGAGAGATTTCAAGATGGAACTTAACAATAGAAGAAAGTATGACTTAATCCAGATGGAAAAAAAATACAGGAAATACTGGACATGGAAAAGGTAACCTATACTCTTAAGATTACGAAATAAGTTTGAGGACAAGAAAAAAGATTTGACAAAATGGATTCTGCCAGGAGAATTATGAGAACTTGAGAGACAAAAAATGATAAATAAAATCAAGAAAGAAAGGAAAAGATTCTTAATGAATATGAAGGGGCAAAACCTTCCTATAAAAACATCTTGTCTGTTTTGCTTTTTGTACTTGCAACAACATTTTTAAGATTATGGAAAGATTCTTTGATTCAGCGAAGCATATTGATCAGGAAAGCTGTTTGGCAAAAAAAAAAAAAAAAGGCTAAGGTGAGAATTAAGAAATTAGGTGATGGGATTTACCAGAGGGAATATTTAAAAATGAAACATCTGTTTGAATATAGTTAAAGAAATAGAAAGATTTGTATGTAAATGAAGATTAGTTTAAGAGGGATGAATCCCTCAAGTAACATAGTATTTTTTTCTTTCTTTTTTCCTTTGTATTTTGTTTTTGACATGAGAAATATAAAGATGTTGGGATGGTTTGTATAAAAGCAATGTTTTTTTCTGTTTTTTAAGATATGAGAAATGTAAAAGTGTTGGGATGGCTTGTATGAGAAAAAAGACTTAAATACTTAAACGTAATTTCGAGAAAATCTTAACCAGTAAGAATGCTTTGAATATTGTGGGGAAAACAAATTTAAATAAGAATTCTGCAAACAGGATATATGACGAGGCAATCAAGATGATCAATTAGAAAAGCTTTATATTGATGTGGTTATTATTTGCAGAAACATGAGAAAAATGTCTATACTTAATTGTCATTTATTCAAATAGTAAGAATTGTATTAACTTAAGGTTGGCAAAAGAGAATATTATTGGAAGAGAAAATCAAGCAACACCATTATATGGACTATAGAATTACATAAATTGTTATTGTTTTTTAAATACTAACCCAGGCTGTTTACCAAATATTAAGGTGATTATGTTAAAAATCAATAAACATATTTTTTTTAAAAGAAAAAAATGGTTTAATGAATGTTATTATTTTCCTTTCTTTTGTCCCCTCAGCCCTTATTACAGAAGGAGAATGGACACTTGTGAGAAAGCCCAGGACCCAAAGATAGCAAGCCAGACTATAACAGCAATATTATTGTGAGGCCAGGTTACATATGGAGATTCAATTGCAAACTGCATATGATCTAAGCCAGTGATGGCAAACCTTTTAGAGATCGAGTGCCCAAACCGCAACCCAAAACCCACTTATGCATCATCGGGTGCCGGGTGGGTGTGGCCCATTGGATGGGTGTGGCCCATTGGGTGGGCATGGCTGCAGTGGTAACGGCAGACTGTGTGGGACTAAAAAGTTCGATCAATCAATTCCAACTTTGCGAGATCTTTTTTTTCCTGTGAGAAGTTGAAATTGACTGATTGATTGAACTTTTTTTTTTATACACGGTGGCAGAGGCCTAAAGCGAAAAGGTTTTATAAAACCCAGCTGAAGGCCTAGGACTGGGGCGATGGCATGCGTGCCCATAGAGAGGGCTCTGAGTGCCGCTTCTGGCACCCGTGCCATAGGTTCACCACCACTGATCTAAGCAACCACAAAAGTGTAGTACTAGAGTGCAGAAACGAAACATTAAAGGCATTTACTCAATTGTACACATATGTCTGAAAAGACATGGAGCCAGTCAGCTACAAAATAAGTTCAAAAAGGAAAACAGCCTTCAATCCTAGGATGCGAGATGCAATGCTACTTGTGAAAGGAGACGGACCGGTAAGGAATCATGTTGGAATCCGGACATGGCTTTTTCCAATGCCCTAGCCTCTGGCCAACAGAGTTGTAGGGGAAGGTTGTGAGTATGGTGTGTTTGAGCAGCTCTGCTTTAATAAACAAACTCTCAGTTCCTGGAAGAATCATTTACCATTCATTGTGAACTTTAACAATGAGTAGTGGTTGCATAAAACTCATGAGCCTTCTGAATGAGAGTATATATGGTTTCTAATAAATTAACCCCCATGTACCAGGACTGGGCATAATTCTTCTCGTAGGACCCTATGCTCTTTGGCTAGGCAAAACCTGATGAATCTTAAGAGTCAAAAACACAAGGAGGAGAGTTTGGTGCTATATCCCTCTTGTCAGTGAATGAAGTATGTATGTCTATGAGTGGGACAAAGTAAAATTAAACAGTCTCCTAATTTCTGATGAAAATACCTCTGGGATCTTTGTACTTAAGAAGGTAATTATCTGTGGCACACATCTTCCTGGTGCATGAAGCATGGAATGGGTTGAGAATTGAAACAGCAAGACTGATGTCAGATGGAGAATAAGAGCTGGATCTTCTGTGACTTTCAGATGTTCAATCAGAGCTTGTCTATGCTGAAACAGGATTTGTCTAAGAAATTAAACAGGAAAAATGTTAAGGAAGTTTTTTTAAATCAAAATTAAATTATGTTGAGATTTACCATAATGTTCAGCACATTTGCAAAATAATGTATTAAAAAAACATAAAACTATAGGCTTGGAGCTTTCTCTTGGGAGTCACTATGCATATTAAATACTGCTAAATATTACTCGATCTGCCTATTCACCCACCAATAAAACTGAAAATATTTCAATTATATCCAAATTTGGAGGGCTATAACTTTTAAATACAGTAGCAGATAATAAATACTTAAGAATTTAACATGCCTTCATTATATGAATAATGTAAAATATTTCAATTTCTCTATCCATAATATGTTTACAGAGAAATCTGGTTTCATAAGCAAAGCTGGAAATCATGACTAGATTAATTTCCATTTACACAGATTTCTTTCTTTCCTTCCTTCCTTCCTTTCGTATAAGCAACAGGACTAATCAGACAGTAATGTGGGAGAAACATTGGCACCTACTGCTTAAAACTGTAATAATCTGCACCACCCAAAAGAAGTAAATAATAGTATCAGCACTGGCAAATACTGACCATCTGGACTTGTCTGAAATAATACCTATAACTTTTTCCGGGATGTTCCCATAATCTTTTTGCTCCTATTCCTCTATCTCAGGGCTTTTCAACCAGTAGTACGGGTACCACCTGTGATACATTGGCACCTGGCAGGTGGTACGTGACCATCCTAGAAAAGTGGTAGTGGGGGAGGGGAATGAGCTGAACTGGTGGCAGCACCGCACAAGCCTGAGCAAGAGATGGCTGGAGCTGCAGGGCTCAGCGGAAGTGCCAGGATCAGCGCCAGGCTCCAGCTGGAGCTCGGTGCTGATCCTGGTGCTTCTGCTGAGCCCCAAAGAACACCAATCAACTGGAATGTTGCAACATCTCCAGGGTTTTGTGATTTACATTCAGATGCTTGGCAACTGATTCATATTTATGATGGTCACAATGTCCCAGGGTCATGTGAAGTGACCAAAACCTGCTGTAACCACCCAGCAGATGGGAGGGGGGAATAAAAAACAAACACCCTCCACCCCACCCCCGCTGCCAATCCTCAACAGAAATGCTCACAACAATGGAAACCTCAGACAGGAGGAAGAGCGCCGCCGGGTGGGCAGGAAGGTGTCTTGCTCGGCTGTGGCTTGGGGGGGGGCACTTTTTTCAGTGCCACTGTAAGTTCGAACAGTCACTAAGCTAACTGTTGTAAGTCAAGGACTATCTGTACTTTATCACTTTTTTCCTTTTTTGGGGGGGGGTCATCAAGTTTTTGACACCTTGCTAGGCGACTGGTGGTACTCAGATATTGCCATATCCTAAAAGTGGTACAATGGGTGAAAAGGTTGAAAAGCCCTGCTCTATCTCATCTGGTGTCTTTCCCTGGTGCTACCCAATTCCTTCATGTACTCATGCCCTAACTAGTGTTGTCATGTTATCCATATTAAAGCTGACCATTCTGGTCCAACTAATTCAGTTATTCCAACATTTGATTTGGTATGATTCGCTTCTGATCTGATAATTTTAATTTCATATCATTTCCCCCCCACAATCTATGTTCTTAGTTATAAAGCAAAACAAACAAACAAACAAACAAACAAACAAACAAACACCTTACTCTTCTAATATTGGCACCATCAGTGAGCAAAATCTTTGTAATTTGGTCAGTCTGCTTGTGGACTTTTTAAACAATTCCCTGGGAAGTAAATGGATGCCTTTCAAAGTGGAAGTCTTGCCAGCTGGCATTCAAACCAGTCTAAAGGTTATAGTCTTGACTGTACAGTTTTATAGACAACAATACAGAAGTAGGTTGCCATTGCCTTCTTCCGTTCTTGAATTTGAAGCTTTTTCTCCTGTTATCAGTTGACTTTCTTCAAGCAGAACATGACCTGCTATCATCTGTGTAATGGATTAATATTAGTATTCACACTCCCCTTTCTATCTTATTGGTAAGGGTGATTCTACAGGGAACTCGTTCTCCCATAGAACTGTTTTCAGGCTCATACTATATATCCTCACCACAACAGGATAGTAATCTTCCATCGCCGCCAAATTAATAGTTACCTTTCTTTCTTCTTATCTCCCCTTTTCACCATAATATCACAAGCCTCTGCAGCAGCATCAAGACAAGAAACAAATTCTTCCAAAGTCTTTTAAAAAAAATACAAGCAAATTTATATCATTTTAAGTTCCACCAATTTCGCTAACAGAAATATTCTTTTGTATACGTATAAAAAGAGTAAATCAATGAATCGTCAGAAAGGGGAAGAGAGAGACAAAAATGCCCTTTATCTATTACTGATCATACAAGTGTATGCACCACCGACAGGACTGTAGTAAGTCTAGATGAGATATAGAATAAACATTCAAAAGATCGGATATAATGGTTTGATAAATAAAAAATAAATTAAATATATGTTTTTGGATAAATGCAATCCCTGAATCTGATCACTGATTGTGAGGATATACTTTTCATAGATGTTCCTCCATTTTTGCTTTTTACCCATTACACTTTCTAAGAATAGTTCTAGCACACCAAGTCAAAAAAAACTAAGCACAAATGTTTATATCAAGGTATGGGAGTGAAAAGGTGTGGAGTACAATGAGATAGATCAGACATGTCAAAGTCGCGATGTCACATGATGTCGTGCGACGTATTGGAGCTTCTTCTCCATTGCCGGCAATGAGGTGGGCACGGTTTCTTTGTGATGCGGCCGGCCCATAGGCCGGCAGTTTGATACCCCTTAGATCAAATGAAAGCTATCCACAATTCATACAGATTTCAAAAGCAGAATAATATATATTTAAGCTAATCTTATACTTTCAACTGATAAAAATGTAATTAATGTTTCCTATTAGGAAATGTTATAATTTTATAACTCTCTTCCTCCAAATAGACATGAAAATTGATTTTCTGCTACTGGTGTCCCTACCTTGACCCCCATTTTGATTTCTGTACTGATAAAACTTTATTTTTCCCAACCTGATCAACACTAACCCTATAGTGGTTGGGGAAGAGTACTTCAGGTTTAATAGATACATATTTCAAAATGTTATTAATAAAGTAAGTAATTTACAATATCCTTCAACAAATTAATTACAAAACAACCTTGTAATTAACTTGCAGCTTACCTTGCCATTTAGAGAAATATGGAGTTTTGTTAAAGGACCTCTCATCTCTTCAGATAATGTACTTAAAATTTTTTTCCTCATCTATTTGAGTTTGAAGAAAAATATAACATGTTAAAGATAATGTGAGGTTTCAAGGGTCTTATTCATTTCTGAATAAGTGCTCAAATATTTTATTCTATATTCTAAAAACTGGCTTATATATACCCATTTATGTAATTTATTTGCCCTACTCTTTCTCTTCCTTGTTTTTACAAATAAGAAAATAATTGGATGATAATGTCCTAAGTAATTTTGTCATTTATATACTAGTATGGAAAACAGGCAGTAAATATTGCAAGTTTTACCCTTAGCTACTTATCTGAGGGAAGGAGGATCCTATCTTACAGCTACTTCATTTTAAATGATACAATACTTCTTTTTACAATCTCTCTTTTTTAAAGTTTATTTCTACATAATTAGCACATACTTGAAGAGTATTTCAAACTGCATTTAGAACAGAATGTAGCACAACAGATGCATTCCAATGTGTCACATATGAGCCTACTGGACAGATTTCATCTTAATTGAACGGTGTTTCTATATACTGTTCAAGATGCTGGGTATTCCTATAAATTACTACATGGCTTAAGGTCAGGATATCTGAAATATCACCCATTCCTCTATAAACCTGCCTATTTGGTTGTTATCAAGTTGCTAAGTCATGTCCAGCATTTTGCGACCCCATGGACCATAGCACTGTGTCTTTCACTGTCTCCTGGAGTTTGCTCAAATTCATGCCCATTGTATTGTTGACATTATCTAACCATCTCATCCTCTCCTATCCCTTTCTCCTTCTGCCTTCAGTCTTTCCCAACATCAGAGTCTTTTTCCAAAGCTTGGCTATAGTTAAAGGATACTCAAATGCCTCATCAACAAGAGAGGTTAGATTGTGAAAATGTGGGCCAGAACTTGGAACAATAGTATCCTATGTTCACCTTTCCTTGTACCACCTGTGTGATATTTTCAGCAGGCTGCTAGAAATGTTATTTGCATTTTAGTTATTGTAAATTAACTTCAAAAGTTTTTGCTCTAGTCTTCTCTCATAAAGGGCTCAAATTCTCCCATCCTCATTGTTCTTACTTTAGCTTTTGTTGAAAATCAATTTAAGATTTAAATTATAGGTGTCAAGGTTTGGTAAATTCTGGAGGCCATAATCAAACACAGTGAAATATGGTACCTGTCAAAATCTGAAAATTATCTGGAAATGGGCAAAAGTCTTGCACAGCTTGGGAATCAATAGCCCATCATTCTTTTAAGAAACCAAGACACTACAGAAAATTGCATTGTTGTACCTCAGTTGTAATGGTGGTGTAGTCATCAGCAGCCATCATTACATCAGCAGCAAGGAAGTTGAAAATAAGATTAGTGATATCTGTACAAACTGTCTTCAGCATGTGTTTGGCAATGTTATTTTGTGTCTCATCTGTAAAATAAAATTTCTATGACTAAAATGTTAGTATAAAATCAGCACATTACATAAGAAATCTCCATAATCTAAGTTCAGCACTATATCTATCTATCTATCTGTCTGTCTGTCTGTCTGTCTGTCTGTCTGTCTGTCTGTCTGTCTGTCTGTCTATCTATCTATCTATCTATCTATCTATCTATCTATCTATCTATCTATCTATAAAATTTTGTGGCTGACAAAGAGTTAGTGGGAGATTAGTACACACACAAACATATGGATTAAAGGGCAGAATAGAAATCTCAAAATAAACACATTTCTTGCCATAGTTATCCCTTTATGGCCAGTAAACTTTCTTTGGGTCACAGTGTGAAACTCTGTGTCCAGCTGCTTTTATTGGTACTAAAATGCGATATCAAAGAGCATGAAAAGCCTACTGGAGAGGTCAAATATTTCAAACTAGGTCATTTTGTTTCCAGCAGACAAAAAAAGGCATACTATGTAAATCACAAATTATAAAATCAATAAAGATCCACACAAAAGTATTGTAGACGTGAAGCAGCAGAGACAAGAGCAGAAAAACAATGAGCCAAAGCTGTAGCAGAAAATGATCTAAGAAAATTGAAGGAGCTGTATCAAAATAGCTGGAAATCAAAATAGTCAGCAAACAAAAATTGGTTCATATGAAATAAAGAGGTGAAAAAGCTGGAACAAAAAAAGGAGGTAGTACTTCAGCCATTGCACAGTAATCAGCTAAAATATATATAACTGTTTGCAATAGTGGTAAATATCTGTAGCTTGGGCATAGGATGAGGGTGAAGGTTCATTTTCTGAGCTTGTGCGTTGGTTTCTGAACGTTTCGTTAACAATGTTGTGAGTCTGTGCCAGCCTGTGATCCCGGCATCTGAATCCGGGGAATCAGAGGAGGAGGAGGAGGAGCCATCAGAGTCGGAGGAAGACTCTGATGAGTTACAAGACTCACAATCGGATGAAGAGCCTGGCCCCTCCAATCATGTTCAGGATGAGACACAGCTGTGTGGGGGAGATGAGTCAGACTTAGAGGACTCAGAGCTGGACATCATTATAGACACTGGTAAACAAAGGCCGTTATCTAGAGCAAATCAGAGGGAGTCAATACGACAACTTCAAGGGAGGAGGAGAAGGCATTGAGAAGTTACGCCTTGGGGCTGCTTTATAAAAAGCGGTGCTGGTTGCTGAAAGCAACCGTTTGTAAAAAACTTCAAGGGATCATGATTTACCGGTGAATTTCTTGTTTAACTCCTGCTCTGTTTGCTTTTTTAACCAATTATCTGTTGGAAAAGTATTCTGTTGCTTTTGTTTTGGAGAAAACTTATCAGGACTGTTTATGAAATAAAAAGTGTTGGTTTTTCCAGTCTACTGATAAAAAAGGGGTTGTGATGCAACAAGGACAGACGTAGGCTGAGACAGAACAGGCTAGGTAACATCTTCATCCGAGTTTAAACTCTTCACCCTCATATAACTGTTTTCTTGTTCCTTCTGATAAAAGATTACAAAAAAACCTGGAAAAATCAGAGTCAAGTGGCATTACATATATAATACTGTATTATAATATGATTTCTTTAAGTTCTCCTTAGGAAACCATGGAAACCCAACCACAAGTTTTATGACTTCAAAATTATGTTTGAAGTACAGTTATGTTCAACAAATTACTTTTGAAGCAAACTGACTTACCAAGATGTGTAAACCAAGCCTTTACACTCACTGTAACTTCTTCTTAAGTTTTTCTAATCTCTCTGTGGTTTAGCTCAACTGTTATTCTTCCACTTCTCCATAATCAATAATTCGCTAAAACGCTAACTTATTTTGTTATGAAACGCTTCATCTCACCTGTGAAATGTTTTGCTCCTTTTTCAAATAACCTGATGTTGTTATACAAATTGGAAACTTCTTCCTGCAAATCCTTAATGGTCCTTTTTCGGCTAGCTCCAGAATAAGAAGTTGAGGACAAGAATATTGTGCGCAACACTTCCTGATAGTTCTTTGTTAAGGGCCTAAAGAGTAAGGGGAAGCAGAACACAGGGTGACAATTAGCAGAAGCCATCCATTGGTCCCAAAAATGATAAAACTGTCAAAACCAAACAGCATGGTCTCGAATCAGAGACCTGCTGATGTCAGGCTGACCTTCACATCTTGTCAGTACAGAGGAACGAATAGCTTCCAGTAAAGACAGGAAAGGGAAGGACCCCAGACTAGGTGGCAGAATGCCCAGGCACGAAAAAGAATTACCCTGCAGTACTTTGTGTCTAATTGGCCTTGTTAAAAATAAACTTCCCAGTGGGTATAATAAGCAGAAGGAAGGAACTTGAGGGATAGGAGGAAGAGTTGCTTCCAAGATAATGATTGATTAAAAAAAAATCAAACAAACTTGAATGTGGAGAAGGTCTGTAACCTGAAAAAAAAAAATCAGACAAGTTCTCACAAAGATAAAGAGAGATGGAAATGCATTCAAGATTCTGTTATTATAATCATATAATAAAAGTAATAGAGGCCTATTTGATTTTGGTTTTCTAGCATGGTCTATTCTGAAGGGTTGACAATGGGTAGGAAAAGTTTGTGTGTGTGTGTGCGTGTGAGAGAGAAGCACAAAATACATGGCTGCGTTTCCTCTGGATTTAGATACTTTTATAGGTCACTTGATGTATCCTGTGCAATTACTGGAATCAAAGGTTAGCTGTTTCAGTGATGCTTTTCTAATATCCATTTGAAGGTGCTGGATACTAATAGCAGCATTCATTTTTTTTCCTGTGATTATTTCATCAAATAATTTAAAAGTAAATAAAACAGAGTCAAGAAAGAAGTTTCATTTCTTTAGGGGCATTAATGCCTAACAAAACAGGAGCATTTTCACTCATCAAGCTGGAAATGTTTGAAGGAATGAACACCTGGTTTGTGGAAGATTTCGGGTCATGAACCATAAGGGAATCTAGGAAAGCACATACGGCCACAAGCTCTAGATCAGTGGTTCTCAACCTGTGGGTTGGGACCCCATTTGGGGTCGAACGACCATTTCATGGGGGTCGCCAAACAACGCAGTCCGCCATTTTTTCCCCCTTTTCCTTAGCTGTGCTACTCCCTTTTATTCTATTGGCTTTTGAAAGCCAATAGAATAGACTCTCTTGAATAGAGTCTAATTCTATTGGCTTTCAAAAGCCAATAGGAATTGTCCAGGCTGTCTCTCCCCTGCTGAGCCCGCCAAAAGTGCTGCACCAGTTGAGTAGTCCTCGACTTACGACCAGTTGAGTAGTCCTCGACTTACGACCGGTTGAGTAGTCCTCGACTTACGACCGGTTGGGGGTTGCGGCATTAAAAAGGTTGAGAACCACTGCTCTAGATAAAGCTACATGATTATAAGACAATCAGAATACACTTGCAGATCAAACCAGAGACAATTTTTTATCCATGGTGACTATATTTATATTTCTATCCTTCTGACCAAGATAAGCATTTTCTTAACTTTTATTATATTTGCAGGGATTTGTCCTTGAACTGCAATTGACAGAGTATCCCCAGATAGTTACTGGAATAGTCTAAAATAATATAAATTTCTATCTCTCTGGAAAGGACAAATATTACAATGGTCCATACCTGAGTAATATTTACAAACTACCTGCAGCTGTAGTTTCATTTGTTAAAATACTGAAAAATGTTTCTGCCCTTTCAGTGTCTGTGTATTCATACAAAATGGGATGATGGGTGTCTGCTTAGCCAGCTCTGGGCAATAAAGGCACAGGAATCTATTTCTAATTACATCAATGATAACAATCCCATTGATATTTCACAATGCAAACTCTCACCATTCTTGCACTGTGAAATTACAACCAAGTATGTAAGGAGTGGAATGTGTGAGACTAGACTAGAATATTCTTTATTGGCCAAGTGTTATTGGACATACACAAGAAATTTGTCTCTGGTGCATAAGTTCTCAGTGTACATACAAGCAACAAGTGATAATTATAATCATAATCAACAAATACAATAATAAATGATAGATACAGTACTCAGTGATAGTCATGGGATATTAAAGCAATCAACATAAATCATAATAGGATACTAAATAAAAGCAATCAACATAAATCATGAGATGCAACAACCAGTTATAGTCATAAGAATATAAAGAAATAGGTAATAGGACAGATGAGAAGTATAGAACAATTAATCAGTAGAACAATTAACCAGGGGAACAACCCGCCTCCAGAAGCAGTGAATGCTCCAACACTGGAAGTTTTTAAGAAGAGACTGGACAGCCATTTGTCTGAAATGGTATAGGATTTCCTGCCTGAGCTGGACTAGATAACCTCCACATCCCTTCCAACTTTATTACTACTACTACTACTACTACTGCTACTGCTACTACTATTACTACTACTATCATTATCATTACTATTATTAATACAGCCCTACTAGGTGGTTTGATATCCCAGGGCATAAACAATGTTGTGGGAATTAGTTGTTTAGCAGAGTGATGGCGAGTGATGGCATGAGGGGAAAAACTGTCCTTGTGTTTGGTTGTTTTGGGGTGTAGTGCCCTATAGCGTCATCTTGAGGGAAGAAGTTGCGGTGCAGATTTTGTCACTCGCCCTCAGCTGCTCCTGCAGGTGTCTCTGGCTACAAGAGATGCAGTTTAACATTTTCCCAAGATAAAGGATTGCAGTTACCTGATTAGATGATCCGCAAGTTCTATGATGAGCTCTTCAGGACAATCCCTTATGTGCTTTCTTAAAACATCCTCAATTTCTTCTTGCGACATAAAAGGGATCTCAAGCTGCTTGCTCCTACCTGTCATAATATGACAAACATTTCTAATTGACTTAAAAGATCCTTGATAGAAGAAGCTATTAGATTTTTACAGTAAAAGCTAGTGCAAAATAAATTCCTCTTAATATCAAAGATTGTTCCATAAGGCAGGAAAAAATCAGATGCTGAGAGCACAGCTCTAAAAATTGTTTCAAATTATAGATGAGCTCATACCATAAATCTATGGTGTGTTTCTTATAAAGTTATGAATTGATTCCAAAACATAGATAGGTACATTACTTGACCAGACTTGGCTGATCTTGAAACACTAAGCATGGCCAAACCTAGTTTACAGATAAATTACAGATAATTTAGAAACTCTAGTTGTAGATTGCACTAGGAAACTGAGAAATATCCTGGAAGAAATCATAGCAAACCAGTTCTGAACAGCTGCCACAAAAGCTACATTGATGTGAACGTGAAGACACTAGCAGACAGGTGTGGCTCAAAATCTTTAATTATTTAATCCAGGAAAATAGTTTATAAAAGATAGCCTTAATAAAATGGATTTCCTACTCTAAACTACTTGCTTAAATGATGCATCACTGCTACTTGCTGTAAATAATGTGCTCTGATATTGTGGTTGGGCAAAACATTTGATTATGGTGCTTAACAACAAAGAAAGCATAAATGATTCACCTCTCCTTGAATTATTAAAGTAGCCACTTCATTCAAATGCTTTGCATAGCACCACCAGATCAGTGATCAGATGTAATTCTTTAAGGTAAAAATTAATTAAAATTTAAAGCTGCTAAAGATTTGTATATTGGGATTTCTTGTTCATGTTCTTTACAATTTGAGATAGATCTTTTCAAGGAGTGTCATTTCCACATTGCCCTTAATTTACTTCAAGCCACTTTTCAAAGAACTATCTACAAAAATCACCATCATATTTAACTCTTTAATAAGGGCGTGTTCATATACATGCACATTTTTGTAGGCATGCATTTTATGATAAATTCAAGAATGTACAAATAAAAGGAAACACAAAGTAGACTTAGAAAACTACAAGAGGTAGCATACTTACTTGTGCTACTTGCTTGTGACTCGTCATCACTATCAGCATCTTTTCTTGCCTTCTTTTTGTTTTTTTTAGTTTTGATTTCTCTAGCATTTCCACCACCACTATCTCTCACCCTTCCAGTGCCCTCTGGTGGAAAAACAATATCATTACCATTGGCCATATGAATGAGACAAGTCATATTCATAGAACACATTCATGGAAAATCAACTATTTTCATAAGCATAATGCAATGGAAGTGATATCCTTGTAAAAACAAACAGGAAAAAAATAGTAGCCCTGAATTTATAAAAGTATGCATGAAATCAGTAAAAATATACTATGACATGATGCACAATATCGAATTAAAGAGCACTAGGAGCACAATAATTCAATATTTATTCCATTTTTTCTCTTCACCCATAAAATACATGTAGATCTGGTTGCAAAATGTAACCCCTATGTAAATTAAACAGTTATTAGGAAAAAAGAGCAACATCTATAGCAAGACCTCCACCATAAATTTGCTTAGGAATGAAAGAAAATACGTTTATATCTCCAAGATCGGAATTAAAATAACAGTTTTTCAAAAGAAGGGAAATGATGATTATTACAGATAATTTAAATAGAACAATGTCCTGTAGTATTTTTCATATAAAATCGCCTCAATTAACCAGCCAAGCTATTTTAACTACAAGCTATATTCAAATACTTTAGATGTACGCTCCACTAAATAGTTTTAAGCAGAAAAATTATAGAGCTGCATTGTTATTAAGAGCTTAAATTGTTTATATTAAAACATTTTGACAAAGAAATGCCTGAATAAAGTGCATTCTTCAAAAAATGTTATGTGTTTGTTCCTCCATAGTTATTGTTATTGGAGAACAAAACTATCTTTTAGTTATCCTGTGATAAATATCACTTAACACAAGGAACATCACACAATTATGTATTTGGATGCAATCCAAATAGATTTTCATGCAATCTACGCTAATATAATTTTTGTATTTGTTCAACGAGATTTCTCCTTCCTCCATCTTAAGTGTCCAATGCCAGCAATCCCTATTCCAGAAGATTCACAATTTTTATGAATGAGGGCCGAGAGAGGAATAAAATGCTTTTAAAGGCAGGCCCCAGAAAAGGCAGAGAGCTTTAACACTGAGTAAACATATACCATGCTACTATCTCTTCAGCAGCATAATGGAAGGATTATAAGGAGTCCTTGTTTTCTTGCAGATGTTTCATTATCCAAATTATTACCTGACCTACCTAAACTAGGTCATCATCCCAAATTCTATCTAAAGCCCAGCCTCCCTAAGGCAACACCAGGAGGGACATCACTGTTCCTCCTGATGGTCAGATTCAAACAAGAAATTCAAAAGATAACGAGTCAACTATAACAGGCAAGATAGGTTTCAACCACCACATCAAAGAAAACAAAACACTTGAAAGACTTCTGCCCAGAAAAAAATGGACCTTATCCACATCTGAAACCATCCAATTTCCCGCCATGTCCAGAACAGAGTATCTAACACTCAAAATTTCAATTTGAATCCCAGACCGTCCAAGATGAAGTGATCTGTGTACAAACTATTTTTGCATACCCATGATTACATCCCACTTCTTTACCTATTGCTTTCTTCCTTCTTTCATCCTTTTTGTCTTTTTTGCTCAACAATGTGTTTTCCATGAGAGCAGAGTGTTTCAAGTCCTCTTCTGTGATTAAATTAACGGGGTTATTTTTCATTTCCTGAAATAAAGACCATATCCAGTTATGTGTGTTCTATTAGGAATTCCTGTGGGTTGTCAAGATTTTCAGTTATCTTCCCATCAGTTTAGTATTAGCCTGAGACCCAAAGAAGTTTGGAACAGTAGGAGATCAATCACTGAAGGTCCCAATTTATCTAACTTAAATTCTATAGACCGAGAACTGAATATAGAATCTGTGATTCAACTGAAGCCAAACCTAGAAAATTATATAATGTGGAAATGGTTTGGACCTCTATTAGATCATAAGTGGGCAATCTGCAGCTCAAATATACCCTCCATGACATAAAAACTGAAAGCTAAGCCATTGTGCATCCCTTTTCCCATCAGGCAGCAATTCTACTTATAAGCATGTGTCTGTAGCCTTGTTGTTAAATTAGCAAATAAAAAATGGTCAAGGCAAATCCTTCAGAAGAGGTGCTTTGCAAATCATCTCTTTTTGAACAGCTTATCATTTGTCGGTTTGCATGTCCATGGTCATCCACTTTGCTTTGTGTTGGTTGGATTAAAAAAAAACCTTGCCTATACCAGGGTTGTTGTTTTTTTTTGCCTCCAAAAGAGCACCAGGTCTTATTTTGGGGTGTGTGTGTGTCTCTTTTCCATGGTCTCACCTCACAGCGGTGGTATTGACAGCCCCGCCCTGCCCAGCCCACTTCTCCAGCCGAAGGAAATGCCTCTGCAGCTGAGAATGGAGCTCCAGATTGTCACCCCCGGCCTGCATTTTGCCATCAGAGGCCTTCCGGAAAGGCCTCTGCAGCTGAGAACCGAGCTGTGGATTGAATCTGTAGCTCGGTTCTTGGTTGCAGAGGCCTTTCCAGAAGACCTCTGATGGCGAAATACAGGCCAGGGGGTGCCTCAGAAGAAGTCGGGTGGCGAGGTGAGGCAGGTGTCAATTCATGGGAGGCCTGGCTGCAACGGTAAGTGGGTGTGGGGGGCAGCTCCACCCCACACCCTCACCCTAAAACTAGAGCTTATTTCTGAGGTAGAGCTTATACAGAAATCATGGTTCCCTCTCTGTTATGCCTGGTTTATCTGCAACACTGTCTCGAGTTAATCAATTGAGAGGCATGGGAAGAGGCCTAGTGGCAAAGCATTGTATCTTTGCATACCAGTAAAGAGTAATCAAGGAAAGACCAAAGCTTTATATCAATTAGCTAATAAGCTTCCCAGGGTTATCTGGCTACCTCTAGAAAGACAATAATGAACTAGATAGATAGAACTAACACAGAATGACTATTACATTTTGATGACAGACACAAGCTCAAATCATCTCTGCAAAGGTAACATATGTATCAGACCCAACATCAGTATTATTATCTTGGACACTACATACTGCATTATGCCAGGAAATAAACATTTAATCTAACTATCTTTCACTCTAAATGACTATTTTTCCTGCAGGTACATTTTACACTTTATACCCCAATGCTTCACAAAATTGCTTATGTACGTCTTCGCTGTAATTTTGCTTAGGCTATCCTCTTAAAAATTATAAATTAGGTAAGCAATCTTCTCTAAGGATTGTTTTGAAATGCTACGTTCAGTAAACCAACCTTTTCAGCTTTCTGATGCATAAGATCAGTAAACAAATCAGCACAGCTGCTGATAAATTTCTCACTGACTACATTAGTGTCACCAAAGACCAAGGCTGAAGGCTGCTTATTGAAGGATCTCATTACTTGCTGAAGCAACATGCCGGCATCTTCTACAGATAATGAACTTGGAAGAAGAGGCTAGGATTATAAAACAAAAACAATCACATTCAAGCTTACATTTATTGGTTAATGAAACACTTAACATGTTTAAAATCATGTTTAAAAATCAAGGAGAAAGTAAGCACTTCACAATGTATGCAAAAGATATTTAAATTTCAAAATACTATGATAAAAGCTTCATACTTTTGTCATAGTGTTTTGAAATTTCTTTTTGCTTTTTGGTGCCATCCTCCTTATTTGATTGTTGTAACATATATATGCAGTCTTTTGTAAATTGATATAAGATTTTATAAACCTGGCACAGAATGTATCAACGTACGTCTCAGTTTCACAAAAGAAACGAACCTTATTCAAAACTTTACATCTCCAACAAACACAAACTTGTATTAAAGTGTAAGTTAATATGTTGTAACTCAAATATTATGTTCCATAGAATTTGGTTGCAGGAAGTTGATTTCAAGCAATAATTCTATCAGGATGATATATGTCTATTAAGTCTTGCTATGGGGAAGTGAAGAAATTAAAATGCAGCTCCACTGTAATAGCTCCAGACATACAGTAAAATTCAACAGTCATCTATAGCAGTAAAATGATCATGTTTTTACACAAAGTCCTGAAATAAGCTGGATGAAGTAGTTCAAGCAGGCATTAAAAACACTGTCAAATATAAGTTACTATTGAGTGTAAGCAAGGTAGATTATTAACTTGGGAATCCTAATCTCATTCAGATCTCTGTGTAACATTGGACTTCGATTTTACCCCTGCCATCCATTCAAAGACATTTAATATTAAGTGCTTTCTGAAGGGCTGATGAAACAGAAATCAGATTTCAGCCTTCAAAGTAATCTGAATTTCAAAATAAAGAACACATTCTTTTTCCCAACTGAATCATGGAGCAATACAAGGTATGTCACTGATATTATATAGAAGGCTATATTAAGAAATAAATCTATTCATTCAAAATTTGTAAGAAAATAGCACTTCAGAAAGCATTACATTTTGTTGCTCAGGTTAAACACTGATTTGATAGAAGTTATCCTTTGAAATTAAACCCGTAATACTTTTCAAATCACTGTAGAATAAATGATTGCCGAATGATTTTCAACAGTCTCACACTATTTCAATCTGTCACAATATACAATATTATATTATAGAACTACCTACAAATATAAGTACAATACATCATATCTCATATTATGATTGGAAGTACTCTGTAAGATTTAATTCAAGACTCTTTCTCAGCCCTTTCCAGATACTTGGGATTGAATGTAGGACTTTCTACAGACAACATATATCATTGAAAACTAGAGCTTATTTCTCAACAACAAAGCTAATTGAAAATCAGAAAAAGGAAAGAGCATACCATAATATCCACCCACTGACCAGAGCTGATGGCTTCATCCACAGATGCCTCCACCTGATCCAAAATTTCATGACCAACACAAGAGGCTTTCAGAAACAAAATTGGCAAAGACTTGTATCTTTTCTTTACATAGCTCACAGGATCAGGGATGCCAAGTCTTGACAATGCATCAAATTCTGCAAAATTATACAAGGTCTTTGACAATGACATACAAAATATTTAGCATGGGCGGGGGGATAATATTTACTTCTCAGTGGATTCTAGACCCTTCTTTATAGGTTGACTGTGGGTTTTATTCTGAGCTTGCATAAAAGCCTGTAATCTTCATTTTATTGTATTTATTTCTGCAATTTATATGCTACTAAATTCCAAAAAGGCTCTGAGCCACTTTTATTAATACAAAAGTTAATAGAAAAATAAATTACCAAACCCTAAAAGCAATATCAATCAGCTTCCTAGCCATTAACACATCAAGGAAACAGTACTAAGAGCAAATAATACCTACTGCAAAGAGGTGACCTGCCATACAGGCCACCTCAAACTTTTTCCAGAACATTCCAGTCTTAGAAGCTTTCCTTTGCCTAAAGTCTTAGCTCTATTCCAAAGACAAAGGGCAGCTCTGTCCATAGAGCCTTCTACAATTCAGATTGCCACTAGCTTTTTCCCTCACAATAAACTGGTTACCAGCTCTCATAGGGTAAATAAGGAGGTAAATAAGAAAGCAATATATTATTTTTTTCTGAACCAGAAACTGCTTTTAGAATCTGTATCTATGGGCTTTGGTAGAGCTATAAAAACATTTCTGCTTTATAGGAGAAAAAGGAACATACTGCTCCCTTTCTGGAAAATGTTAACAGTTGGTGATTGTGACTCCTAATTCAGGAATCATAGGCAAGTTTTAGTCCCAAGTATGCGTTTTCTTTCTTTTCCATAACAATGAATGGTCAAAATTCTCTACAAGAGAACATAAAAGAGCAAATGTAAAAACTCCTGTTTAGTGATACTAACCTTTTAAGAATGCACGTTTTCCCTAGTTATTGCAGTTCTTTTCTTGGTCATACAAATGACCAAGTGTACAAAGTATTCATGCATATGTGTATAAACAATCTCTAATATATACTTCTCTTAAACAATTATTTTAAAAAGGATTGCTCAAAAGGATTTTTTTACCTAAATAACCATTTTGTTTGAAAAATGAATCCACCCAATTACTCTGAGTTCTGGAGTAAATATCAGGGATAAACACAGCTTTATCTTGCCTTCCACCAACCACTGTGCCTTTTAGACATCCAGAATTAATAAGTTCTTCAAGCAAAGCTGAGGAAAAAAAATAAAGAGTCGTAATATTAGAAAGATTTACAAAGAAAGAATAAAAGCAAATTTAGCTGCAATATTAAAATATGTACCCTTACATTTCAGGGATAGAGCTGACAGAACATAGTAGTTAAGCATATTTAATGGTCTACAACTGGATTTCTTTTGCACAATTATATAGCTCAAGATAGGATTCTCTTAATTTGCAGCTTGATTGGAAGCATGAAAGTTTGGGTTATAGATTTCTAAAAGTGATTTTTAATGTTTAAAAATTGTTTTTGCTTTACAAATCCCATTTGTCTCTTGTAATGGCTATCCAAAGCAAAATTTAAACTGTTAAAACGTGAAATGGAGAAATGCTTCTAGGCATGTACCTGGCCTTAGATTAAAAGACAATGCATGGGTGGGTAATGATAATATAGACATGGCGAACGCTTGGGCATTTCGTCTATGCTGCGTTCATGTGTGTGAGAGGGATGAGAGGGGAGGAAGGAGTAGGGAGGAAGTAGGATGGTTAGAGGAGAAGGGGAGGGGAAGAGAGTAGGAGGGGATGAGAGAAAGAGGAGGGAAGTGGGGAAGGATTAGAGAGGGTGGACGCAGCCTGGGGGGAATGGGCAGGCGGTACCAATGGTTAGGAATTAATTGCATTTTGTATGAATAAATGGAAAATAAAAACTTTTTTAATAAAAAAAAGACAATGCATTTCTATATATTCTGCCACCTATTCTTACATCATCAGTGGGGCATTTTCTACAGATCCAACTATCAACAACTAATCTTAGTCCATAATTTCTGTATTATGGACCAGTTTGCCACAAAGAGTTGAACTAAGCCCCCTTAGTACATTTTAAGAGAGAATGCGAAACATTTTACTTTTCTCTGGACTTTTTTTGGTTGTTTGTTCAATATTTTATTATTTTTTTTATAATCACAGATCCTTAATACATGGACTTTCGATGCTATTGTTTTTGCTAATAAAATTTACCTTAATGATATTTTACTGTTATTTTTATGGATGATTTTATGGTGTTCTGTAAGCCATCTGTGGATTAGGGACTGGATAGCAAATATATTTGCAAATACAGGTAATCCTCAACAGCACTTCATTTAGTAATGGTTCCAAGTTACAATGGCACTGAAGAGAGTGACTTAGCATTTTTCACACAACCATTGCAGCATTCCCAAATGGTCACGTGATCAAAATTTAGACACTTGGCAACTGACTCATATTTATGACGGTGATCACCTTTTGAGACCTTCCGGACAAGCAAAGTCAATGGGGAAGCCAGAACTACCACTGTACTAACTTAACAACTGCAGTGATTCACTTAACAACTGTGGCAAGAAAGGTTGTAAAATGGGGCAAAACTCACTGAACAAATGTCTTGCTTAGCAACAGAAATTTTGAGCTTGTGGTCTGTGGTCATAACTCAAGGACTATCTGTATGTAAATGACATTTAGGGTTTGCTTAGTTTTACATTTCATGAGCACAATTTGCTTTAGCCCGATTTCTGCATCAACCAATAAATTCAGCCACGAAAAGTATACATGACAAATCATGCACATGTTTGTGTGCACATTTTTGGGAACATTTTTTTCCCGATATGTGTAGTTTTTACAAGCAGTAACCTGCTGTTTTTCCTTACATATAAATATTTGTAAACTTATTTCCTTAATAATAACTTCATTTAATGAGTATATTCTGTACTGTACTGTATCACAAAATACTACAAGCTATGGATTCTGACATATTGTACATAAGCCTTTTTTCTTTATAAATTTGCAGACAATTTATTTAAAAAACATAGTCCGATATATTTTGATAAACACTAGAATGCAAATAGTTTCTCTCAATCCTTTTATTCCGTGTCTCCTATCTAAATTTTTATAGATCCTAATGGATTTATTATACTGCTCTTTCTACATTAATTTTTATACCATTTCCAGATAAATGTCGATGCAGCAAGATTGTGCTGATACTCAAGGAGAAATCTGAATCCAGGGTATTCAAGGCAATTTGAGAGAAAAAAAAATATTCATCAGGGACTCTCGGCAACTCCAGTCCAACGTATCCTGATTCACAAACTGCGAATATCTCCCCACAATCCCAAAGCAGCTAAAGTAGTGATGTCAAAATTGTATTTTTAAAAAAGCAATGTATACCTATACATAGTACTTGTTTTCTTTAAATACTTTAAAGACTATTGGGAATTTACGGAATTTAGATCCATCCTTCAAGCAGAATTATCACTACAATCATACCACCATTAACTGCTCCAGCTGCACCTTTCTGGATGGACATAAAAATAATAAGTACCAAGTCTCTCTAAGAATGCTGTGGAAATATAGTATGTAGACAAACAGGTGCTGTGTTTCAAAAAAAAAAAAAAAAAAAAAAAAAACCAAAGGAAACATACCAAGGTACAGTTCAGATACCTATATTATTCTTGCAGTATTCAATATTAAGAATGCAACCTTTTGGGAAACATCAGGGTTCAAATCTTTTGTAAGGGTAGCCCTGGGAAAGGAATTTGCTCCCCCTATTCTTCTTAAAGAAACAAGTCTGCTTCTTTTCCTTTAGAGATTTAGAGCTAAAAGCCATCATAGTAATAGGACTGAAGCAGGCTTTAGGCTGTGGCTAAGTGTGTCCTGAGTTTCTCTAGAAAAATTCTTGAGAGCTGTCTGAGGATAGAGAGAGGCCTGAGATTATGACAGTGGTCAAGCTTCAATTCTTTTCTCAATTAAGGAGAATATTGAAACACATACTGAAAGGAATGGCTTTGCTTAATGTTTCAGAATTAAAATTAAATTCTGTTAGCAAGAATGGAGCACCGCTTTTTTCTAAAACACTCTCTGAAATGGAAATAAGTTGTAATAGGTTTATCCCCAAGTTGATATATACACATCTGATCAAGACTACGAAGTTCTGCATAGTCCTAATAAGGAGTTGAATAGTAATTCCAAATACATTTAATTTTATACACTGAAAATATAATCAGCGAAACAGTGTTCCAATTCATGTTATTCATCAGTCAAAGCATGCCAAGCTAGAATTCAGCCATGATAACCAGGTTGGTCTAGTTAAGGGGTAGGTAACCTTGGCTCTTTTATGACTCGTGGACTGGCTCAGGAATTCTGGGAGTTGAAGTCCACAAGTCATAAAAATGCCCAGGTTGCCTACCCCTGGTCTAGTTGTTAAGGCACCAGGTTAGAAAGGAAGAGATTGTGACTTCATGTCCCATTTTAGCCATGAAAGTCAACTGGGTGACCTTGGGCCTCCCTTTCAGCTCAGTTCTCCTCACAGAATGGTTGTTGTGAGGAAAATAGGAGAAGCAAGGTGTATTGAGTATGTTTGCTGCCTTGTGTTGTTTGTCAAAATAAAGGTGGGATATAAATCAGCAAATTAATAAAAAAATCCAGATATTATAGAATATAGGTTAACAACCAAGTCTTAAAAAATAAGCATAGAGAATATCAGCCAGATTTTTTTAAAGCAAATAGTTGCATATCTATCTCACTATTGCAATGCTTAAACTCCAAGAACCACTAAGATAGGGGTGAAGTGAAAGGCTATGATGTGTTTTCTTGTGTTTTTGATCCCCTTGTTTAAAAAGCTTCTGGACTTCGGGAAGCAGTTATTTCCATCAGACCTCAGCTTGTTGACATAAAGTCCCTAGAAACTTTCATTATAACATCTATTATTTTAATAAAAAAAAAGCTTTCATAGCAACGTGTTTTCTAACAGAGTCATTTTGTATTTAGACAATAATGTCCTTCTGGGAATAGCACTCCAGTTCTAAGAACACCAACCTCTTGAGTGGGCTCCAAAGCAAATTATGATTACATTTTATGGACTTCAATGAATCTATTTTAAGTGGGTATGCATCTGAATACAGTTCACTGCATTCAAGGAAACAACCATTGTACAGTCCGGATCGCATAGCTATTCTGTTTTCTGTCAAGGACAGGCAACGAAGTGGTTGAATGACCAGAACAAAATGGGGATAATAGAGGTAACATGTGAATAAGGTTGAAATAGTTGAACGATGACAAAAAAAAAGCCCAAGCCCTCTTCCTAGAGCAGTGGTTCTCAACCTTTTTAATGCCGTGACCCCCAACCGGTCGTAAGACGAGGACTACTCAACCGGTCGTAAGTCAAGGACTACTCAACTGGTGCAGCACCGTTTGCAGAATGGGACTTTTGGCGGGCTCAGCAGGTCAGAGACAGCCTGGACAATTCCTATTGGCTTTTGAAAGCCAATAGAATTAGACTCTATTCAAGAGAGTCTATTCTATTGGCTTTCAAAAGCCAATAGAATAAAAGGGAGTAGCACAGATAAGGAAAAGGGGGAAAAAAATAGTGGACTGCGTTGTTTGGCGCCCCCCGTGAAATGGTCGTTTGACCCCAAATGGGGTCCCGACCCACAGGTTGAGAACCACTGTCCTAGAGTAAGGGAAAAAACAAAACAAACCCATACTCTTCCCAATCTCTGCACTGTAGAGCAAAGGCAATTAGAGGTAGTTGACTTACGACCACAATTGAGCCCAAAATTTCTGTTGTTAAGTGAGACATTTGTTAAGTAAGTTTTGCCCCAATTTATGACCTTTCTTGCCACAGCTAAGTGAATCACTGCAGTTGATAAGTAGTAACTTGCCACAGTTAAGTGAATCTGGCTTCCCCATTGATTTTGCAAAAGGGGATCACATGACCTTGAGACACAGCAACAGTCATCAGTATGAACCAGTTGCCAAGCATCTGATTTCGATCACAGGATCATTGGGCTGCTACAAAGGTAGTGTGAAAAATGGTCATAAGCCACTTTTTTCAGTGCCTTTATAACTTTGAATGGTCACTAAATGAACTGTTGTAACTACTTGTACACATGATTTACTTCCCACCTTGAGTGACAGTTATAGCCTTCCTCTTCTCTGAAGCCTTTTTAGGTGAATGGATGATTTTAGTTGGTTTTTAAACTCATTCTTTTATTGTTATTGTTGACTAGCAGTTGCTTTGTTTTAATTGTAAGCACATAGGATATAAACCGAAATAGTAAGAAACATTAATATGCTGCCTTATACAGTAAAGGGTCAGATTCACTGGTCTTTCTAGCTTATGATTACCTAAATGACAGGTAGTGGATCTCCAGTCTTTCAGGCACCAATCTTTTCTAGATCTGCCTAGAAATGCCAGAGATTGAACTATAGAATACAAACTACTTTTTGTACACTATCAGCTATCTTGATGGTGCTGACATGTATCAATCATACAAGCCATTTTTCCATAACAACCTCTCTGCTCTAGTCATTTGGAAATCTGGAATAACTACCGGTAGATCAGACCCAATTCTATTGGGTTTTTTCAATCAACAGATAGCTGAGAAAAACAAATCTGACACTATGCTAAGAAAAATGCCCATGTGGTTTCAGGCTTCCAAATATTATCAAGCGGGAAGAATGATTTCAACAGGATTGCAAATTTAAATGTGGAGAAATTAAATGAAGGCAACCAGAAAGAACAACAAGATTGTTTACAGGGCGCGCGATGGCGGCTACTTTGTAGCCGTCCTCCTGGGTAAGTGTAAGAACCGCTATGAACAGCAGACATCAGCTGTTCAGCGGTTCAAAATCCCCCTCCCGGGCAAAGGGGGGGGGTAGAGAGTGTCTGAATAGTGGTAGAGCCTCTTTTGCACCCCCCAAGTTTTTTTTGGGGGGGGGTGAAAGGAGTGCTCCCACGGAGTTCAGACTTGTCTCCGCTTCCCAGCTGTTTTTGTCCTCAGGGACAAAACGAGCCGCTGCAAACACCTCCGTGCTTAAAGAGAACTGGTGAGTTTTTTTTTTTTAAACGGACAGAGCTGAGTAGAGGATTTAGTTTTTGCTTTCTTTAACTTATTTGGATTTTAAGTTTTAAGACTTGTTTCTATTTTTATTCTCTCTTTTTATTTATTTTTTTTTTTTGAAAGGGAAAGTAAAATGGCGATCGGCAAATCTCTCGGTGTTTTTTTTCTGGAAGTTAGAATGCTGACCGGCAAGCTTTTTGGTGTTTCTCTTTCTTTCCTTTCCCTTTCCCTTTTTATTTTCTTATGATTGGAATGGTTGTTTTTGGTATCTCTAAGTATTTTTTTGGAACGGATTTTTTCTATTTAATTTTTTTTTTCTTCTCCCTTTTTTTTTCTCTTTTCTTTGAACTCCCTTCTTTTTATTGTAATGACCCTTTTTTGAAGGACTTTTTTCTGTTTAATTTTTGCAATTTTTAAGAAGGAGTAAAGCTTTTTTTAATTCCTTTTCTCTTCTTTTTTTTCCCCTTTTTTCTTTTTATTATAATGACCTTCTTTGGAGGGAGTTATGATTTTTGAAGGAATTTTTATAATTTTTTAAGAAGGACTAAAGGTTTTTCTTTAAGATGGCTCCAAAGCGTCCAGGGATTTCTACAGCTTCTAAATCAACAGTTTCACCCTCTTCTGGGGGTCAGCTAATAACTATGAAGGATTTGCAAGACATGATGGGAGATGTTATAATTCAAATTAGGGCAGAAATGAAAAAGATTTTAGAGGAAAATAATAAGATCTTGAGACAAGATTTTGTTTTGGCTTTAGAAGGAGTTGCTTCTGTTCTTGAAAAGGTGAACTCCCATGTGGAAGAGGTAGCTGAAAAAGTGGACATAATGGAGGGGAAAATTGAAAGTATGGAAAAAGAAATGGAAAATGAGATTCTTATGCTTCAATATGGACAAATGGAATATGCCTTAAGAATTAGGGGCCTGGGAGAGTCTTTGCAAGGAGATCTGAAAGAGATGGTTGCAAAGGACTTTGCATTGATTTTGAATAAAGAAAAAGAGGGAATACTTAGTGAAATTGAAAAATTATTTAGGGTTAACTCTGTGGTGGCAGCACAGAAGAATCTGCCAAGAGATGTGGTAATTTACTTTGGTAAAAGATCTTTACGCAATGAAATTGTGCAAGCCTATTATAAGAAGAGATTTCAAATTGCTTCACAAGATGTTATAATTTTTAAGGAGATCCCATCTAAAATTTTAAGAAGAAGAAAGGAGTTTGCTTTTCTAGCAAATGAACTTAAAAAGAGAAAAATTTTATTCAGATGGGATGTTCCGACTGGAATGGTGGTGAACTACCTGGGGACATGTTATAGACTTAATACTGTTTCTCAAGCAAAAGATTTTTATACTTCGGTCCTGGGGGTATGTGCATCGCCATCTATTAAGTTTAAAGCTTTGGAAGAAAAGAATGTAGAGCCTATATTTATGAAAACTGGCGAATCTTTGTGTGAGAGGCCTCAACAAGTCCAGGTTGAGGAGCAGAAGACAACTTGTGCAGCATACAATTCCAAAGAAAAGCAGCAACAGAAGAAGGTTAAGGAAGTTTCATATTCAGTGGTCTCTGAATCTCTGGGAGATGTTAGACCTACAAAGTCTTTGGAGCAATCTTCAAGGGTGGAATTGCTGCCTGAAATGGAAATTGGGAAATCTCAGTTTGAGGGGCATCAACAAGAGAGGAACGGGCAGAGGATAACTTGTACAACTTACAATTGTAAAGACCAACACAAGGAGGAATTCAAGGAACCCTTACCTGTATTGGCTTCGGAGTCGATGGGAGATTCAGGAATTTTGGAGCAGTCTCCTAAGGCAAAACTTGCAGCATTTCTTACGAGTTTGATACAAGAATGGAGAATGGAAATGGAAGAATGGAGAATGGAAAAAACTGGAATGTGAATAATTAATAATAATACTAATATAATTGAGACTGATAAGGATGCAGTTTCTTACGGATGGAATTTGTTATTGGTGAAGATTGAAATGTTTAATGTGTTTATTATGGATAGGCGTATAAGGGAATTTTGTTGTTTTAAGTTTTGAACCTTTAATGATAATATTGTTTAAATTTGTGTTTTGAAGGGATTATAATTTGCTCATTTTAGTGAGGGGATTCTAATGTTTTAAATTTTAAGTAATGTTTAAATTTGTGTTTTGAAGGGAGTATAACTTGTTCAAGTTTTAAGTATGCTTAAATTTGGTTTTTAAATATTATTAATATTTTTAAGAGAAAATAATTTGTTTAATTAAATGTCTAGATTTGTTTAGGAAAGAAAGTAATGTTTAAATTTGTGTTTTTGGAGGGAGTTTATATAGAATGATGATTGTATTTAGATTTGTTTAGGATTTAAAAGTGTTTCTAGTTTTCAAATATTATTATTAATATTTTTAAGAGAAAATAATTTGTTTAATTAAATGTGCTTAGATTTGTTTAGGACTTATAGGTTTTTTAAGTTTTTTCTTTTTGGATAGGAGAGAAGATTATGAAGATTGAAGGAAATATGTATTTACTTTAAGTTTTTTAAGAGTATTTAGTTTTAATGGTATAACAAAGGTTTATATGTTTATTTTTTCGTTTTAGGATAAAGAAAGAGGGAGAAATTAGATTTTACACTATAGATATAGATATTCAAAGAAAGTAATGTTTAAATTTGTGTTTTTGGAGGGAGTTTATATAGAATGATGATTGTATTTAAATTTGTTTAGGTTTTAAAAGTGTTTTAAGTTTTTTTTCTTTTTTTAATTAAGCCTGTACTCAGCTCTGGGAAGTCCAGGGGAGGGTTTGGGAGGTTGGGAAGGGGGGGGGTGAGGTAGGGTTGGGGGGGGTATGGGAAGGGGATTTGTTTTTGTAAAATTTAAAAAATTTTCAATAAATAAAAATAAAAAAAAGAATAAAAAAAAATAAGATTGTTTACAGCAATTTATAATCAATTTATTTCTTTAATATGCCACTTAGTCTTCTGATTCTAAGTGGCTTACAACATATGAGATAAAGTATTAATAAAATAACACCCATTTGTAAAACCAATAATAATAAACAAAAGAATAAAAATCTATAAATATATATCAAATATATCAAATTAGCTCAAATTCTCACCTGAAGATAATTGTTTTCATTTTCTTCCAATACCGCTAGTTTAGTAGAGGCACATTTAACTTTGGGGTAAGCTGTTAGAGAGGAAGGGGGCTACCTCTGAGAAAGTCAATCTGAGGGTCCCACATCTTCTTCTTACTTCTGGCTGGAACATCTCTTTATTAGATTGTGTGAATCAAACAAATTCTATATGATAACAGTCAAGGTAACAAGGGGCCAAGTGTACTGGCAAACTAAATTGGGTCCAGAAGTGAACTGGCAGCCAGTTAAACAGATGTTATCCTGCTAAACTGACTAATGCATGTCAATATGTAAGCTATTGCCTTCTGTAGCAGTTGTAGCCTCTTAATCATTTTCAAAGGTAGCTCCAAATAAAGTAATTTGAAGTAGAGTAACAAAGTTTGAGCTACCATTTTCCAAAAAGGGCAAAACTAAGAAATGTGCTGAAGCTAATCAAAGGCTCACTTGACTATAGCTTCCATCTCCTGATTCACTATGAAAACCTGAAAATGCACATCACCTCCTTTAGAGGCAATGCTATCCAATCAAAAGTTAAGGGATGAACTATTTCATGACACAAGGAAGTTTTTGAACTAACAAAAATGATGTCTGTTTTGCCCCATCTAGCCTGTCACAGCTTCTAGCCACTGAGTCAGGACCTCTATACATCTCCTGTTCAGCCTGGGATTGACATCTAAAATTTGGTATCATAAATGTATTGATGATACCTGATTCCAAATGAATGAACAGTTTGTCCAATAGGTTCATGTAGACTTTTAATAAAATGAGTCAGAAGGTCAAGCATTCCACACTGAAGTAACCAACAGGTCCTCCCCCAATAGAACCAACTGAACACTGCCCACTGAAGAAAAAGGAGTACCAATGAAAAACCACATCTCCAATTCCCAAGCTTTGCAGATGACTCAAAAAATTAGTTTGGTTGATTACAGAGATGCAGCAAGAAAATAGGTAAACCGCTCGTTATCACTTTGAAATGCTACTTTTATTAAATGAAAAATAAAGCGTCTGAGCAAAACTCACAGTAAAGCAGATGTTCCTGAAACCCATGTCGAGTGATTAGGTTAATTATTGGTGTAGGTCTAAGAAAGAAGTGACATAAACATCATGTCAAACACCATGTCACCATGTCCTAAATAACCAGATACGATCTACAGTACAGATGAACTATTTTCTAGTGTTTGCTGTGCTCAGCAACCAATACTGTTTTTCTGTTTGTTAACACTGTATGAAAATGTGTGGACATTTGGGGAGGAGGCATATGCTTACTCCTAAATAACTATTTAGAAAATGCAGCAATCATCAATTAACACCCTTCCATTTTGTTTTTATTTTTAATGGCCTTGTTTGGCAAATAAAATAATGAATATGGAAAGCATTCTCATCTTAGTTTTAAGGGCCTTTATAAACCAGATTTTATGCCACAGAATTTAACTCCAAATTAAACATTTATTTACCACTTGAATTATTTTATGTAACAGCTCTCAGTACAAGTTTGCTGGTTAAGGATGTTCTTCAATGTAACAATTCTGAGTATTAAGGATCCAAAGTGAATGGATCTGCAACTCAATTAAATCCATTTTTAGATATTTTTCAACATATTGCCATTTCATACTTTTCTTTTGGGATTCTTGTGCAAGATCACCATTCCACCTATTGCTACGTACTTAGAATTATAGTAAATTCACTCAAAATGTTGCTACTTATATTATCAATGAACCAGTTTTAAATCCCAAATAAACTGTCAGGATATTTATGGGGAGGTGGGGACTTTGGAAGCTCTAGACCATGAATTTCTTGATGGAATTTTGTGAATCACCAGTGGTCTAAGGATCATGTTTCAAAAGTCAATGGAATAAGAGCAAATTAAAGAGAGTTAAAAAGTAGATAAGGGCAAGAAGCTGTGATATACGAATGTATTCTTTTTCTGTTCTCCTTTTTCCCCCTTAGTTTTGAATGTATTAGACAAAGTATTTTCAGAAGCTAAACCAGGTTTTTTAAAAAATCAAATATATGTTTTATGGTTTTAAAATGAGGTATAAAAGAAAACATACAGTATAACCTTTTCATGCAACTGCATTCCACGATAGATACAGTGCTATCTCAGTTCATGGTTAATTGATCCACGAGTACCCCAAAAAAATGACTAGCAAATACATTTTCCCCATAAGGAATAATGTAGCGAGTCACAAGGCAGCCAACATTGACAAGTTCTAGCTTGTGTGTTGAAAACAACCCCCCCCCCATGAGGTATATAAGTCTAAGTGCTATTGCTAATTTAAAACCTGAATGTCTGGATGCTAAGCAAAAATAAACAAACAACCCACATTAAAGCTTTTGGCATTTCACAATCTAAACTTCATGATTATCTGTGAAAAACAGAAGGCTAAATTATTTTACTTGTGCCTTCAAAATATACATTTCACCAAAAACATTTATAAACATATTAAATTACTCATAGCACCTTTGCATTTCCTTTGACTTACCGGGTAATAGCCCGGAAGAGGCCACGAATACGGGCCCGATGTCTTGTGACAAATGTATTAGTGAAAATTACCCCACGGTTATCCTGATCGACTTGGCCATGAATAATTTTTCCTAAGCGAACAGAGAATGCCTAGAATAAAAATACAACAATTAAGAGAAGAATTACATTACATGGTATTATGTAAGAGAAATTCCTGTGCATGAAAATTCTAAGTTCCACACATGAGTAATATCTAACTTGCACGTTATTTTACTTGTACATTAATTTAAAAAAATGATTCTTTTACTTCTGACTGCACAATATTTTGTCCATATTAGAGATTAATTGACCTTGCTAATATGTACCGTAAATGCCGGCGTACAAGGCGACCCGGCGTATAAGACGACCCCCGTCTTTATAGCCGGGCCGCATTCCTAGAATGTCGTCTTATATGCCGGAAACTACCAGTATTTCCGGCGTATAAGACGACTCGGCGTATAAGACGACCCCTGTCTTTGGCGCCGATTTCAACGCTCGCGGAAGTCGTCTTATACGCCGGCATTTACGGTAATTTGAATGTTAAAGAATGGATCACTATCACTCACTATCTATTTTTCTTCCTGTCAATTCGCCCTTATATGCCAATACACAATACTTCATATGCCATGAACATCAACAGATAGGACAATAATTTTTGACTGGCTTGGTTAATGAAGGCTTTTGTATAATGCTCATTAAATTAGGAAAAATGTATCCTTCTAGATAAATTCAGAGGATTGAGAATGGTCAGTACAGTGTTATGTTGGTACACCTCCTTTCTCTGGGGTCGATTTCAAATGGTGTTGAGGGAGAAGAGATCCCATCCCTGGCCCCTACAGTGCAGGGACCACAGGGATTGGTGGTCTCCCTCTCTTGTTTAACATCTAAATGAGAGTGATAGGTGAGCTCATCCATTGTTATGGGTGAAGTATCATCAGTATATTTCTGTTCCTGATCAATTAAGCAATGCTATGGACATCCTACCCTGGTGTCTGAAAGCTGTGAGGATCTGGAATGGGAACAACAAACTTCAGCTGGATTTTGGGGGCCCTGATTCTAGGACACACCATCTCTGGTGCTGGATGGGACTGCAGTACCCCAAACAGACCCAGTGTGCAGTCTGGGAGTCTTCCTGGATTCTTGAGTTAGGGAAGTCATGGCAAGGAGAGCTTTTGCCCAACTTCACACTATGCATTAATTGTACTTGTTCCTGGATCAATGGGCCCTATTCATAGTCACTCATGACCTGGTCATCTCCTGGTTTGATTTTGTGATACACTTTACATGGGGCTGCCCATAAAGATTATCTAGGAACTTCAGCTCATGCAAAATGCAGTTGTTGTGATTCCTCACCAACCAGTGGATCCGGCAGCTGAATCTGAGGAGTCACATGAGGAGGAGGGGCCTGGAATGACATTGGAGTCAGAGGAAGACTCTGAGGAGCACCAAGACTCACAATCAGACGCTCAAGCAGAGACACAACTGTTTTGGGAGCCTGAATTGGGCGACGAAGAGGAACAGCTGGGGCCAATCCTGGATGCGCAGATGCGTAGAGAAGAGAGACGAGCAAGACAGAGGAAGGCAGAGGGGCAGCTCGAGAGGCAGAGGAAAAGCCATTAAGAAGCCATGCCTCGGCTGGATTATAAAGGAGGAAGGTGTGGGAGGTGATGGTTGCCAAAGGCAACCGTTCGTGCTGAGGATTGTGTTTTTGTGGATTGTGTTGCTTGCCTCTGAAATCTTGGACATTGAGTCAGGTGTCTAAAAATAAAAGGGGTTTGTTTTTTCTTCTGGGTCCTGCCTGGTTCCATGAAGAGGGGTTTCTTCTTGTGAGTAAAGCAGTTGAGCAAGTACTCACATAGGCTGGGACAGAACAGCAGTGTCACAAGCAGTTACTGTTGGAGTGTCTCTGGTAGAGTACTGCTGCATGAGCTGCACTGCACCAGTTTGTTTCCAGGTCCGATTCAAGGTGTGGACTTTAAAGCCCTAGATAGCATAGGACTGGGTTAACTGAGGGACTGCCTTGCCCCAATTTCATTTATCCACCCCACCAGATCTAACATAATGGGTAAGTTACAGGTTCCACTGTCTAGGGAGTTACATTTGGTGGGCCCTAAGCAGAGGGCCTTTTCTGCTGTGGCCCCCACACTGTCAAATCTCCTCCTCTTCTAAGCTTTCAAGGTCCCTTAAGACCTGATTATGCCAGGGGAGATTGAGGACCCCAGGGGCAGGTGAACTAGTAAGGTGATTCCATTACTATTAACATCCCTTTATCTATTATTCTTTTGTTTTTATTGTTTTTATTATTCTGTTTTATGTTTTTTTTAAAAAAATGGTTTTAATATTTGTTAATAATGGTTTTAGATTTTATCATTTTAGTTTTATTGCACGGCACCCAGAGCCACTTGTTTGTTTGCTATATAAATTAATAAATCTATTGTTGCCTATATCCCACCAACTAGGGCAGGGGTAGGCAACCTTGGCTGGCTCAGGAATTCTGGAAGTTGAAGTCCACGAGTCATAAAAGAGCCAAGGTTGCCTACCCCTGAACTAGGGGATCAAAATAAGGAACACATTAACACAATCTCATGAGGTAAACTATTTTTGTTTTATAGAGAATTTCATCAAAACAACCATATAATGGGTTCTTAATTTGTTTTCATAATTTAAAGCTACTTTATTTCCTGGTTATTAGGCAAGGAATTGCCATGGAATTGGCTACAACGCAGTAGTTAGCAATATGGCAGAAAGAACTAAATTAAAGCTATGCATATGAGAACATTTACAATTTAAATCTCAAGAAAAAATAGTATTATCGCATTAAGGCCAACATTTAGGATATATCTGGCAATGCAAATAGCTACCAAAGTGAAATAGTTTCAGTAAAAAAGTAATTTTCAGATGAATTACCTGCTTCAAGAAGTCTCCTGGAAGATCGTACGCCTTGCACAAGTCAGATATTTTCACTTGGCCACATTCCTGCAACTTGTCATTTATTTCTTCTGCTATGTGATCTAAATAATTTCTGGTATGACATGAAGAATCAGTATTAGTGTTACACTTCAAATGTGCTATTATATATACTTCATATCGATATTTGGTTTAGGAGTGGTATTTGATAAATAAAACAGAAAAGATATAGCTGTATAGTGCCTTACTATTAAACTTTCAAGGAACAGTCATTTTATTCAAATAAAAGCTATTGTTAAGTCCACATTTTCAGGTACTTAATGAAGTAACAATTTCGTTATTTGTGGAATATTATGCAGTCATACCTCTGGATCTCTGTATCTTTGGCTTGAGGAATGTTAGTTTGTGTCTGTCCCTAGTAGAGGCTATTGTTTTTTAATGTTGTTTTTGTTTACTGTTTTCAATGCCTTGTCTTTTTTTGTAAGCAGTTCACAGCCAGTGTATAATAGAATATAACTGCATGCAGGTCTATATAACTGCAAAATGGAAAATGAGATATACAAATAGCTAATTCTTTGTTTTTGTTGTTCTATGAACTTCCATGTAGTGTATAAAATTTGATATTTCTTTCTGCTAAAATCCCAACTCCAAGTACTATGGTATAACTTAAAAGTAAGGGAACTTTTATATGCAGTAAGATTTTTATTTCTTTCTGTCTCTTTTAGTAGTCTCCAAAGACAGACTATTTGTTACTGCTAGATATTAGACATAAATGCCTCTGTTTTCATTGTGCTTTCTCTTTTTAGCTCTTCCCCTCCTAGTCTTATTTAGTGATCTTATTTGAGTGAGATGGGTGGTCTCTAAATTTGATATATAAAATAAATAAATAACATAAATCCAGAGTACTTTACTTTGTATTTTTTTTTACTACCGTCCTAGACTGTGGCACTATGAATTTCAAGATGAAACATTTGTTTCCAGTTTAACAAGAAAAATACAATATGCTGCAGTTTACAATAAAGTCTAGGATAGCATTTTGATTGGGTTTGAAACCTGGAAGGTTTATGTAAATGCAGATAAATCTATTCCTGACAATTATGTCTCAATCATAATTAGATTGCATTTAATTATCCTAAAGAACTCACTCATCTATAAGTTGTCCCAATACCAATCGAAGTGTTCGATCTGATTTGACAATGTTGTTAGCTCGGTTCTCAATATGGAGCAGATCAACATTTATTACCTGGCAGAGCAAAGAAGGGAGGAATAAGTAAGTATTTTATTACTGTCACTGACTGAATTCAATAAATTAATAGCAGTTGAAACAGAACAAATGCAATAGTTTATAGCAATCAAAATGTATCTGGTTTTACAAACAGTATAGCAAAATAAATCTAATTTATGACTTCCTGTTAAAACAATCTGACAATTTCCTGCATAATTATTTAACAGCTATTTCAATACCAAAAATTTTAACTAAAATATGGACCTAGATTAAAACAAGTTAAAACACAAAATAACATCAATAAAAATGTTATAAAATAATTCCATTTACTTGAGGTTTGAGAAGAAAAAAGGTTAATGGAAATGAAATATATTTCTGCATGCATCAGTGAACATTCATTTTTATTTATACACTTAATATTCAAAATGGATGCATAATAAATGGAAAGCTTACAACAGCTTTAGGAGAAATTAAAGAAATTAAAAAATATGATAGAATATTTCATTATGAATAAAGTATTTAACTACAAAATTACAAGGATATAAACACAATAAAAAACAGGTGATATATACAGTAATTATAGAACTCTGTACAGACAGCAAATAGTTTATACCTCCTTTAAAAATTATGACAGAACTAGTAAAAACACTTATAAGCATCAAACTGACTTAATAAAGGAAAAATAAACAATGTTTATAATGAAGTTCAATTACCTGTTGCAAATCCACAATGTTCACCCGACCTGTAGTAAGATCAAAAATGAATGTTGTGAAATATTAATACTTGTTCATTATGATTTTCATTTTGACTTCAAATCTCCAAAGTAACTTGGGACAATTTTAAGCATGAATGTTGCATATGACTGCTGCTTATAATATTTTCTCCAGCGTGGTTGCTGCCATCTGTATGCTATTTTCATCTGAATATATTCTCATGCACTAAGGGAAACATTATCATTTATGATGCAGAAGAGCACTTCTACAACTTTAAATGCAAAGATTGTATCAGCACCACTAAGAATAGTAAAGAGGGAGAAAAAGCAAGCTGATTACAAATAAGCCTTACACTGATGTGGCAAGCTGTTTCAGTGAAGGAGTTCATTCAATGATTTTTTTAAAAAAAATATCTGGGCATAAAAATGCTTTCTTTCCCAGCTAAAGTAATGAAATGAGCTCAACAATGCAAACATTAATTTGAGTAAAGAAAGAACAAGGTTCCTAGGGATGAAATTTTGAAGCAGTTTTTTATATTCTGCAATATAAACTGCAATCATTTTACTATAGAGACATAATATAATCCTTACAGTGAATTTCAAGAGCTAAACTCTTATCACCTGTTTCCTGAGGGTATGAAGGTGCTGCTACAAGTGTCGGATTGAACACATTCACAAGAATGAAAGCTGCCTTGGAAAGTATTTTAATATTACAGGAGTACTGCCTTTTATTATGCAAGTTATGTTTCAGAAGGATGAAGGAAGTCATGCAATATTTGTCAAGAAATCATCATTGGAGGGAGAAAATATTCAAAGCAATGTAGAACTGAATCACACTGAGGGATCACAGAGGCACTTCTTATAAAAATGCAAAGAGACAAGAGATCTACTTTTTGTTTCTTATTCACTTCATGGATAAAATATCAGTGAACTAATGCAGTGGTTACAAAAAATCTGTGTCCAGTGAATTGTTTTAATGGTTCTATGTAATACAGATATGTAATATTCCATCAGAAGAATTCTGCACATGGAATCCATATAAGAATACTTTTCTTGCCATTCCTTCTAAGAAATGATCATTGCGTATATTAGCCAGGCAATATACAGCTTAACAAAAGGGATAACTTACCTGATGGGAAATGTCATTGAATTCAGTGAAATTTCTGAATAGAGATGTTTAGTGTTCAACACAAATTGAAACAAAATTATCATTAGCATTTTGGCTAATGCTTTTAGAAATGAAATGTCTAAAATGTTTCTCTTGCTAAATTCAAGTATTCTCTCAACAGTCTAAGGGCAGGAAAAATGTACTTCTAGTGGAAATATGGCTTTGTAGAATTTCAATATCTACTATTAAGCACCTTACCATGATTTCAGTTTTAAAATTATAATTATGCAATGCTTAAACAAGAAAGATATACATTTCAGTAACGCCTTTTTTTTATAAAAAAGTGATGTTTAACAACTTAACAAATTCTGTCAAATTTTGAAGATTATATTAATATGCACTTACCACCACGAATATGAAGTTCATCACGTATTTCTTTGCTAATCTGTGCAGGAGTAATATACTCTTTTCCATCAAGAGTATGTACTACATCCAGCTGTTTTTCAGCAATTAACTTAGAAACAATCTCTATGCAATTACGTTCCGACAGTCTATATATTGAAAGAACAGACAAGAGAATTTGCATGTAATCCTAAACATCTGACTTTAAATGTGATATTTTATCACTATAGGTAGTCCTCATTTAGCAACTGCTTCAGAAAGCAACTATTCAGTTACGATGATTACAAAGTAACTTTGCATTCAATTCCTACATTTACAATGTTTGCAGTCACTCTCTCTCTTTTCCCCCTTTTAGTATAGTATTCACTATTAGAGTCAGTTAATTTGTATTGTGTGCCTGAGCTCTTTTTCCCTCCTTGAGGAAAAAGCTATCTCTTCCTCAGTTGCCTTTCTCCACAGCATACTGTATCCCTATTACAAGTTAATAAGCTCAGCAGTATGATCTTAATTAGTTGATTAAATCTCTCCAGGACAGCTGCTGCTTGAAACTGACCAAACCTAAAAGTTTTCTGCTTCTTAAGCAGCTGATGGCAGGAAGTGTGAGAAGGCTAAGCAAGCTGCAGATATTAGTACATTCCTTTCAGTGTATATAGTCCATTGTCTGCCTGCTTACTCTCTTGTAATCCCTTCCTCTCCAACGAATTTAAAGGCAAACATTAATTCTCTTCTTGCTAATTATTCTCATGCTTGGTTGAGCATTCCAAATGGTAGAGGAGTGAGGAAAAAGGACTATAACATTTGCCCTTTTATCCAGCTTCCTTGTAAGTTGGGAAATGGAAACTTTTCCCACATTTGGGCTTAGCTGGTTGTTTGGGGTTGTATCCTTCTGATGCTGTAAAGCAAAGGACAGCTGAAGTAAAATCATAAGCATGGTCACTGTCACATAATTTTCACTGAGCAAATGTTACCTTTAATGATCAACTCTCCAGAAGCAATTATGATTGCTAAATAAGGACTTCCTGTAATATATTGTACAGATATATCAGCATTCTACTTATATTTTAGATATGTTAGGATTAATTTTTGTTTATATGTATAGAACCTAAATAATATTCCCTTATATCTCTGTAATTTTAAACATTTTCAGTAATATATTTTTTGTAAACATAGGTAGTCCTCGACTTACAAACACAATTGAGCCCAGAATTTAAGTGAGAAATTTGTTAAGTGAGTTTTGTCCCATGTTATGACTTTCTTTATCATAGTTGTTAAATGAATCACTGCAGTTGTTAAACTAGTAACACGGTTGTTAAGTGAATCTGGCTTCCCCACTGACTTTGTCAGAAGATCACAAAAGATGGCCACATCACCCTGGGACATTGTAACCATCATAAATATGAACCAGTTGTCAAGCATCTGCATGTAAATCACGTGATCATGGGATTCTGCAATGGTCGTGTGAAAAGTGATAAGTCATTTTTTTCAGTGCTGTTGTAACTTTAAACGGTCACTAAATAAACTGTTGTAAGTCTGTAATGTCCTGTAATGTCCCTCTCCCATGGTTTAGGTTAAAATATGGTTATGATTATGTCAATACTGGTGCTATGTGACAAAAACATACATACCCAACATTGAGATATGTGCTACCACAGTCAAAAATTAAAAGTTTAAAGCTGCCTATAAGTCAGGTCTGGACCTTCGTGTCTATTTTCTATAAACTGCACCAGCAAGGAAACCCAGCCATGCTGAATAGATAAATACCAATATATGTGGGCAGAATTTTTGTTTTTGTAGACCTGGGCTTATCCCTTTGATAGTAGGCTTACAGGAAAATCTAGCAAATCCCCTGATTGTTTGTTTAGTTTTTGGCATGAAGAAAACCACGTTTGTTTAGTTCCTGGCATGGGAAAATCGTCACTTGACAGCAGCAGTCAGGTTATGGAATGCAGGTGGATGTTTTTGAAAGGAAGCAAAACAAAAAAGAAAGAGCAGCTCTAATTGAGAGATTACGGTAGACTTGCTCCCCTTTTATTAAAAGCGGGAAAGACGCATCGCTTCTTCCAAAAGCATTACGGTCATAAGGGCATAAAGTTAAGGGGTACAAAAAAAAAAAACGAGGGCCGTCACAGAGCATTGGAAAAGCGTCGTTCAGAGGAGACTAGAGCGGGCGGGGGGGGGGGCTGCTTCCTCGGTCCGCCCGCCAAGTGTTTTCCCCTCCCCTCACCTCTGCGTCGCCTGGGCGAACTGAGCGGATTGAAACTGCTGAGACAACTTGAGGATTTCTTCCCACGTAGCGGCCATCGCAACCCCCGGGTCTGGTCGGGGAGGGTGGAGAGGCGGCGGAGCAGGGGGAAAGGGGCGTGTCTTAAAGAGGGCTTCGAAAATCACACGTCAGCTCAAACGAAGCCTTCCCAGCGACCGGCCGCGAGCAGGAACAATATTCCTCACGTCTTCGCGTAAGGCGCGTCGATCAGGGACGACGCCCCCTGCAGGAGAGCCCTGTCTGCTAGGGCGGAAAGCAGGGAAGAGCTGAGTTGCTGGCGACCGCTTCTCTGGCATTTCTCCTTATCCTGAATCGGAAACCTGGAAAAAACAAAAACAAAACAAAACATGAGCCGTGGTCGTGGCTGGGTGGACAAATAGCCTTTACTCTTTTGAATCTTGACCTTTCCGAAAATACGCTGTCCCTGGAAGAAAGCTTTGAAAAGTAAATGAATTTTCACGATGCTCGGGAAACAACTTGCGATCCGGACAAAAAATTGCACCATCTTTCTGAGTGGTCTTAAGATAATTAAGGCAAAGTGATAGCTCTTTTGCAAAACGTTCCTTCGCAAGCATGACGTTTTTTCTCCCCCAAATCTCAAAAAGTCTTAAGGTCTTGTTACAATTGATCTTGATGGGTGGAGAAGTCCGAAGTCCACGGGAGCTATCTTGTATTCCTTCCAGCTGACTCATTGTTGTTGTTAATTGCGAAGTCGTGTCTGACCCATCGCGACCCAATGGACAATGTTCCTCCAGGTCTTCCTGGCCTCTACCATTTTCTGGAGTCCATTTAAGTTCACACCTACTGCTTCAGTGACTCCATCCAGCCATCTCATTCTCTATCGTCCCCTTCTTCTATTGCCCTCAATCTTTCCCAGCATTAGGCCCTTCTCCAGTGAATCCTTCCTTCTCATTAGGTGGCCAAAGTATTTGAGTTTCAACTTCAGGATCTGGCCTTCTAAAGAGCAGTCGGGGTTGATCTCTTCTAGGACTGACCGGTTTGAACGCCTTGCAGTCCAAGGGACTCGCAGGAGTCTTCTCCAGCACCATAGTTCAAAGGCCTCAATTCTTTGGCGCTCAGCCTTTCTTATGGTCCAACTTTCACAGCCATACATTGCAACTGGGAAAACCATGGCCTGGACTATACGCACTTTTGTTGGCAGGGTGATGTCTCTGCTTTTTAGTATGCTGTCTAGATTTGCCATAGCTTTCCTCCCCAGGAGCAAGCGTCTTTTAATTTCTTGGCTGCAGTCCCCATCTGAGGTGATCTTGGAGCCCAGAAAAATAAAATCTGTCACTACCTCCATTTCTTCCCCATCTATTTGCCAGGAATTGAGAGGGCCGGATGCCATGATTTTGGTTTTCTTAATGTTGAGTTTCAAGCCAACTTTTGCACTCTCCTTCTTCACCCGCATCAAGAGGCTCTTTAGTTCCTCTTCACTTTCTGCCATTAGTGTGGTATCATCTGATTATCTTAGGTTGTTGATATTTCTCCCAGCTGACGCATAGCAGAAAGCTAAAAAAATAAAATAAAATCCCCCTTTTCCCTCCACATTGTGGTTGCATTTGCAAAATATCAACACAACTGAGAAGGACAGTGATTAAACGGTGAAATGATAACTCACAAACACATTGCCTCCGCAACTGAAACTCTTCTAACGAGAAGGAGAAGAGCCCAGAAGCCGAAAAGCAGTTGACCTAAGGGAGCCTGGGGATTTCTGATGTATTGCAGCTAAGTTGGCAATAAAACAATGCAGCTCTGCAACTAAGACAGCAGGGCTCAAGAGGGATAATGGAAATGAACCAGAAGCAGGACAAATGGTATGTTTGTAGATGCCCTAAAGCAGTGGTTCTCAACCTTTTTAATGCCGCGACCCCCAACTGGTCGTAAGTCGAGGACTACTCAACCGGTCGTAAGTCGAGGACTACTCAACTGGTGCCGCACTGTTTGCAGAATGTGACTTTTGGCGGGCTCAGCAGGGCAGAGACAGCCTGGACAATTCCTATTGGCTTTTGAAAGCCAATAGAATTAGACTCTATTCAAGAGAGTCTATTCTATTGGCTTTCAAAAGCCAATAGAATAAAAGGGAGAAGCACAGTTAAGGAAAAGGGGTAAAAAAATGGCGGACTGCATTGTTTGGCAACCCCCGTGAAATGGTCGTTCGACCCCAAATGGGGTCCCAACCCACAGGTTGAGAACCACTGCCCTAAAGCTACAGAACTACAGTCTCCTTCAAATCAAGGTTTACGTCTGGTGGACAGGCCATGTAGTTTTGCTTGACAGAAATGCAGAACTGATATGTCACAGTCTTTTTCTGGAGAATTACCACTCCAACATGTAGCCCTGGATTTTCGAGGTATTTCCCCATCTAATAGCTGTTCAGGCTTGATCATACTTAGCTTCTGATTCAGGGTCAGGTCAGCAAAAAGTGCTGCTTGCTACCTCCACCAAATGCAAGAAACTTTCATTTTTCAGTGAACACATAAAGGATTGTGTTATGTTAAATGAAGTACAATGCCTGTCAGATGACTGCACAATTTTTCATACAAAGTTAAACCTTGCGGTAAAACTTTGTAGCTGATCATATTTCATATTTTCCTGTGCTAGTCCAGTGATTGTCTAGTGTAACTCTCTGGATGAGGATGCTAGCTAGAGTGATCAATAACGGCTGGATAGCATCAGAGGAGTGAATGTATGTTCATGCAATAAAATGTTGGGGAGATTTGGGATACTGGAGGGGAGAATTAATATGTTGGGTAAATTTTCAATTTATAAATTGATTTATATCAACAGCTTCAGGGGAAAAAACCCTTTCAAATTGGTTGTTAAAAATATTGGACTGGCTATTATAAACTATTTAAAGACATCTGCAGGCAGGTAAAAATCATATCCAATTAACATATTTCTACAATCAAAGTTCAACTTATCACCCCACTCCCATGATAAAATTATTGAAATTATGGTATGAGAATGACAAATTTGTCACATTTGTAGTTGCACCATTTTCACTATAGCTACATAAAATTTGGCTACTGTGTTGGTGGTAAGATGGTTACTGCCTGAAAGAAGAATATTAGTATAATATAATTCTTTTATCCTTCCTGGGAGATGTTGTGGTAGGGAGTAGTGGGACAAAGAAATCAGTAAATTTTTACATTCAGATGTTCTATCAATAATAATTGTGAATAAAAATATAATTTTAAACTATCTTCACTGTGTATAGGGATGAGACAATGGCAATGTCACTGAGGATCTATCCCTGAAAAATGATTCATGGTTGTGAAGATGAACTCTCTCATTGGATAATATCAGTTTCATTGGGCAGTGAGGCAAACAGTTCATTCATTTTAGTAATTAATTCCTTAGATATCACTTAACATTATTTTGTGATTCCGCACTTCATATAGTTCATGCAGTCATCCCTTTGAATCAGGGGTCTTCAAACTTGGCACTTTTATGACTTGTGGACTTCAACTCCCAGAATTCCTCAGCCAGCATGCCTGGCTGAGGAATTCTGGGAGTTGAAGTCCACAAGTCATAAGAGGGCCAAGTTTGAAGACCTCTGCTTCTGAATGCCCCTTACTCTCTAAGCTTTGTGTAAAATTAAAAAGGCATGGGAAACTAAATCTAGTTTAGAATACCAAAGATATCTTACCTAAAATGCTTTCAAGCCTGGACAGAGTTACCAGATATCTGGACAGATGGAAAAGAGGACAAATGGGGCAAAAAGAGAACATATTATTTAACCTTCCTGGCACTCGCAACAACTCATAACCTTCCTGGCACTCATAACAAAAATTACACTGAAAAACTGAAAAAAAAGCCCTCTTAGATCTACATTTATATGCAACAACTTTTTCTAACGTCAGAAAGACTAATTTTTCAATCACAATATTTTCCAGAATATATGCTGGCAATAGAATAGACAATGACATACTTTTCAAATTTTACCATAAAAACATATGAGTCATGTGATCAACAGATTATAGTGATTGAAGATTTGAAGTGGCTGGATTGAAGCTGGATTGTTGGAATCGGGAAATAAATTGACTAAATGTAAATCTAAGTTATCAAATCGACAGATGGGAAAGATAAGCAGATAATTTACAAGGTCACAAGATATTAAAGTTTGAATGACCACTGTTGTAAGTCCCCTTTGTGGGTGTCCTGCCATTCTGAGGGGGTGGGAAGGAGGCTCTGGGGAAGGGGAGCATTCTTTGCATGCTTTCGCTTTGCTGTAACTGCATGGGAATTAGGGAGGGGGATCGTCTCCGGAGATGAGATGGACTCCCTCTTAGCTGGTTCCAGCTTGACTTCAAGGTTGCTACCCGGAGGGTGACCTGCTATCAGGCTTGTACCTCAGCACTCTCAAAACAACATTGCAGTGTATTGGCTGCTGGTGGACTGGTCAGGGGAATTGGTTTTGGAATGGGAAGAATTGCTGGGCGCTTTGCATGGGACCGTTAGATTCCATTTGTCTCTATTGCAACCACTTTGTCTCAGTAAAAGTTTTTTTAATTAACTTCATGGAGTCAAGAGTCCTGCTTTCCTGAGAGGATCAGCTGGGGCAGGTTCTTACAACTGTTGTGTAAAAAAGTTCCTCTCCCCCAAAAAAGTCCCAAGATATTCAAAAAGCTGGACAGTGTTTGATTTAATCAAGTTTAAACCAGATCTGAACTGCTATATTAGAATCTAATATAGAAAATGGTGTCATTCGGTTAGGAGCTAATCTATGATTCATTCATTTAGTTTAGTTGTATGCTTCAGTGGCTTTTGCATTGGGTGACAGTCTTAATAAATTTACTGCCACTTCTTTTAGCATATTCTATCTAATTCACACCTAGGGTCAAACTTGATCTGTCCTTGGCAAAAGCTCATTCAGCCAATCTGAGGTTCAGAGGGGAGTTAAAACAAATCCAAGTATTCAAGTTTACATACACTCCATACACACTTTATAAATTGTATATTACTCATTGAATGCAAAGAATGCATGCAGTTTGCTGGCAACCTTACAAGAAAACAATGTCAGACCAACATTGTCAAGGTATTCTATTTTAAAAAAATACTAAAAGCAATGATATGAAATGAAATTATTACCAAGACAGATTAAAGGTAATCCT